AGAGAAAAAATTAGCTGGGTGTGGTGGCACGCGCCTGTAGTCCCAGCTACAGGGGAGGCTGAGGCAGGATCGCTTGAGCTCAGGAGTCTGAGGTTGCAGTAAGCTAGGCTGACACCATGGCACTCTAGCCCGGGTGACAAAGCAAGACTCTGTCTCAAAAAATAAAAAATAAATTTGTGCAATGACATGAGAGGTATGCATAAACACTTCTGCTGCATACCAAAGTTAGAGGTTCTCTCAAGCAAAAGCATATATAACAGTCCCTCCTTATCCATGGAGGATATATTCCAAGACTCCCAGTGGTTGCCTGAAACCATGGATAGTACTGAACTATACATATACTACATTTTCTCCTATACATACACACCTTTGATAAAGTTTAATTTATAAACTAGGCACAGCCAGGTGCAGTGGCTCATGCCTATAATCCCAGCACTTTGGAAGGCTGAGGTGGGAGGACTGCTTGAGCCCAGGACTTCGAGGTTACAGTGAGCTATGATTGCATTACTACACTCCAACCTGGGTGACAGTGCATACCTTGTCACAGGGGGAGAAAAAACCCCCCAAAACTAGGCACAGTAACAGATTAGTAATAAAAATAGCATGGTTATAAGAATATACTATAATAAAAGTAATGTGAACATGGTCCCTCTCAAACTATCTTACTGCATGTAATATTTTTGAATTGAAGTTGACTCCAGGTAAGTGAAACCACCACTAAGGGTAGACTAGTTTATGTGATTTCCAGTTACAAGTTGAACTGGCCATTTTCTTCATGGAAGACCATTTTTACTTGAAACAATGACAGACAAACTGGTTATCTGGACTTGGGTATCTGGCAGACATATTTTCAAAAATGAAGCCTGTTACTTACCTCAAGGAAAACTCTCAATAGTACTTATTGGCAATGATAAAATTCAAGCTTTCAAGCAAAAATGATTAGATTCCTGGAAAATGTGTACTCCCTACTGCGAGTCTGACAGCTTTCCAATACTTAATGGCTTTTTATTTTTGAGACAGGGTCTCACTCTGTTGCCTGGGCTGGAGTGCAGCAGTGTGATCACAGTTCACTGCAGCCTTGATTGAACTCCTGGGCTCAAGTGATCCTCCTGCCTCAGCCTCCTGAGTTGCTGGGACTACAGGTGTGTGTCACCACACCTAGCTGATTTTTAAATTTTTTTGTAGAGACAGGGTCTCACTATGTTGTCCAGGCTGGTCTCTAAATCCTGGCCCCAAGTGATCCTCCTGCCTTGGCTTGGAAAAGTGTTGGGATTACAGGTGTAAGCCACTGTGCCCAACCATTAACAGTTTGTCTGATGAGATCAGTAATGTCTTTAATAAATAAGATTTTTTGGGTATTATAGAACAAAATGTGTCAATATTTAAGAGATTTGTATAACTCAATAAATCAACAATTTTCAAATCACTGGTGCCTGATGATGATGTACAGTCGTATATGGGTAAAAGATCCATTCAAAGTACAAAACAGACCAGTGGATTTTAGTGAAACAATACAAAAGTTCACTGATAAGGTTTCACATTCCATGTTGCAACTATCCTTTTTTAGGAAACTATTGCTTGCTGAGTTTTGATGAAGTATCAAAGAGTATCTACAATGACCTGAAAGGGCTATTAAAATACTTCTCTCTTTCCAACTACCTGTGTAAGACCAGGTTTCCTTCAAATACTTCAATCTGTTGCAAAATATGTTGCAACATAACATATTGCAACATATTGAATGAAGCAGTTATGAAATCCAGCTGTCTTCTATTAAGCCAGACATTAAAGAAACTTGTAAAACAAATGCCACTCTGCACTAACTTTTTTTGTTTCAGAAATACTTATTTTTCCTAAAAATGTTATTAGATATGTAATAGGTTTATTTTTAAATAAATAATTTAAAATTTTCTTAGTTTTAACAACAGTAAACATAAATGGATAAAACCAAAATGAACAAAATCTCTTTAAGATTATCAATTTTTAATTGTGTAAAGAATCTAAAATGTTTTGAGAATAGTTATAGAATATATTAAAAGCAGATCTCAAAAAGCCAAAGTAGAAGGGAGAATGCCATCTAGTGGCAAAGACAATTATGACAGCAATCCACATGCTAACAAAATAAATGACACCTCTAACAAAGATCCACCAGAAACATCCTATTGTTAGAAACTTCATATGCTTAAGGCAGAAATATTCAAAATTAAGAGTTTAGAATATAAAAAATGCTATAAAATATCAATTAAAATAAAACTTAAATGTGCCAGAAAAAGTTCTAGATTTGAGGTACAGGCTACTACCTGGAAGACAGTCTGATGCAAAGTCAGGCAGGAGGCAGCCAGGGCCAAGCCTAAGACAAGGGCATCACAGAAGACTCAGGCTGGGGATCATTTCTAGTCCTTGGATATTCCCTGAGGACTCTCCAAGGTTGGCCTCTGGCAGCCACTGGGGACTGGAGGACATCTAAGCTAGCAAGCTCTGTCTAAACCCTACATAATCATCCACCAAAAGAACTAAATCAAGTTACTTTGAGGGCTAGATTTTATGTTCTGGTTTCTGAAGGCTCTCCAACAGGAACAGAAATTGTTTGTTGAAAACTTTTCATTCCAAAATAAGACTTAATAAGATTTGAATAAGAAGTTCAAGTGACTGAATGAGGTACAGTGAAGCAAATTAGTCAAGGCACAAGTAGACAGGTCTTCCCAATCTTGACATGTGCTTGAGAAGGGGAGGCTGAACACAAAAGACACACTCACACTCTTCCCAACTTTGTCTTTTTGGTATTTCCCCCATTCTTTAGCAACTGCTCTCAGACAATAGTGAAGTCTGTTTTATTTTTCATGTCTCTCTACCATCCAACTCACAAAGGCATATCATTCCCCAGGGATTTGCTGCCTGGATCACAGCACTCTAGAAGGGGTGACAGTTAAGTGCATGCACCCTGCTCTCCAGCCAACTTCACCAGGAGGCCTTCCAGCCTTAAGCAAAGGCTGCAACTGTATACGTATAGGCTCCAGGGCTCCCAAATCCTCCTTTCCCTATACACTGAATCCCAACATCTGACATCTCCCCTGTGTTTGTTTTACATGCAGGCTCTAAGTCCCATATACCCCAAATACTATGACAGAGAAGGAATACTAATACTAATACTAATACTACCGATTGCCTTCTTTCTGCAAGCCTGAGCAGAGATGCAACCATCTTTGATCTATGGGGCCACAGGCCTGCCTCATATCCTCTTGCCAGTAATGCTTGGATGAGTTGTTACGCCTTGGTTCTGCACTCAGCACAGAAAAGAGCTTGCATTTAAGAGATTCTAGGGTTCATTTTTTCCTTCTCCTGCGTACTGGTGCCAAAACTTTCTTTCTTGGTAAAACATGTTCTATCATTCACAACTTTTCATGATTTATTTCAATGGCTGCACACAGTTCCATCCAATCACAGAATCAGTTTAAATATGGAACAGCTCACACTACACTTTCAAGTATACTGCTGTTTTAGGTTATAATCAGACATATTTTCTTAAATTCCACTAGGTTGCCTTTAAGGCTACAGTTGGTTTCAAAGTAGCTTCTAATTGCAAACCTTGGTCACCATTCCCCAGACCTAAAGTGATGGGATTAGTATTTCTCTTTGAGAAAAAAAAATTGTCTCATAAAGAATGAGTCTTCTGGCCAGGTGCGATGGCTCACACCTGTAATCCTAGCACTCTGGGAGGCCAAGGCGGGCGGATTGCTCAAGGCCAGGAGTTCGAAACCAGTCTGAGCAAGAGTGAGACCCCCATCTCTACTATAAATAGAATGAAATTAATTGGCCAACTAATATATATAGAAAAAATTAGCCGGGCACTGTGGTGCATGCCTGTAGTCCCAGCTACTCAGGAGGCTGAGGCAGGAAGATCACTTGAGCCCAGGAGTTTGAGGTTGCTGTGAGCTAGGCTGATGCCACGACACTCACTCTAGCCTGGGCAACAAGGTGAGACTATGTCTCAAGGAAAAAAAAAAGAATGATTTTTCAACAGGGACATTTCTAATGCCCAGTGCGCAGCACAGCAACTTAATCAACACAAGAGGGTCTTAATCTTTTTTTTTTTTTTGAGACAGAGTCTCACTTTGTTGCCCATGCTAGAGTAAGTGCCGTGGCGTCAGCCTAGCTCACAGCAACCTCAAACTCCTGGGCTCGAGTGATCCTTCTGCCTCAGCCTCCTGGGTAGCTGGGACTACAGGCATGCGCCACCATGCCCGGCTAATTTTTTTTATATATATATATCAGTTGGCCAATTAATTTCTTTCTATTTATAGTAGAGACGGGGTCTCGCTCAGGCTGGTTTTGAACTCCTGACCTCGAGCAATCCGCCCGCCTCGGCCTCCCAAGAGCTAGGATTACAGGCGTGAGCCACAGCGCCCGGCCGAGGGTCTTAATCTTTACCATGATAGGATCCTTAAGGAATGTTACAGGAATTGCTGTAAATTACTCTCAGCTGCTATTAGGATGGGACTATAAGAATGGCTATGTTGTTTCAAAAAAGACCATTCTGCATGGCTTGCCCAAGAGTGGAAGGGCACATCCCTAAAAAAATCAGAATTAGGCTCAGTATCCCTAACAACTGTGGAGAGGCCTCACTTTGGTCTGAGTCTTATAGTCTCTTATTCACTTCTAGATGATTAGAGAACTCAGAGCATGCAAGGTGGCCCTTATACTTTTCTGAGCCTAGAAACAGTCCCATATCTAACCCACCTGAAGGGGCAGTGACCCACGATGCAAAGTGCAAGTGGGTTGTTGGACTCAGTCCTTTTGCTTTCCTAATCTACAGATATAGCATAATCTGCAGAAATCCACTCTGCTAGGTTCTTTCTTTATAAAGCTGGTTTTATCCTAGAAAATATCCACATGGTCACATAGTGTGTTAGTGGGACAGATCTTGACCAGACATATGAACTGAACCATAATGTTGAAACACCTTGTTTGCATCCAGCCACCCCACCACAGCCAACACCAAATACCTTTGGGTCATCAGCCTCAGGTTTTTCAGTCTCTGAATCGTCATCTTCCTACAAGACAAAGAATTTAGAGGATTAAGCTTAAAGGAGTGGGCCTGAGGGGTCTCACATGCATAACTAGGGGCTGGAGCAAACAGCCCATTTACCCAGCTGGGGTCATCCCACCAAGAATCCCTCCCCTACCACATGACCCAGAACTAGAGAAAGAGAAGGGGGGAAAAACCAGAAAACACCAGCAGCTCAAAGTCAGTAGTTATTCTAGTGGTGCCACAGTCCACGTCAATGAAAATGCCCAAGTTAAAAATCACATAAAAAAATGGAGAAAGGTTGCAATATGTTTCAGAAAAGAGCAAAACCCAGCCATAGGATAAAAGAGAAAATAGTGTTCCCACTGAAATATGAATTATTTAAACTAGGATTAAGAACCTTGTTTCCCCTCCTTTGCCTCTCATATACACATATACAGACTCAGACCTACCAAAACATCAACATCAAAGTGACATGACTCACACATAGCAATACCCTAGTACCTCAACCCAGTAGCATTTGTACTAACATGAACACAGGAAAGTAGGCACCATATGACCAGAGCAAGTGACCCAGGAAAGGCAGGACCAAAGAGCAATGCCCAGGCTTCCCTGGATCTCATTGAGGGAGCTCTGCCTCCATCTGAGTTCTCACAGATTGACCCATCCTACCAAGTCTTGTTCTTTATCCAAATGAGCCCTGCCTGACACAAAGCATCACGTGGGTAAGGCATTTTCCAAAGCAAACCCATCGTTCCACTCAACACTGATGCTATGAAGGTCAAAGATAGGGAGCAGATGCTGGATGATGTACCTTAGTAGCTAGTTAATCCACATCACCTCCACTACCCAGAACATTCCCAATGCACAGAACCTTTAACTAAATGCCTAGGAAAAACAAGTTTCACTTTAAACCATTATTTTCAACAAAGCTACACTTTACCCAAACATTACAGAGCACTCCAGGTAAAGAGACTTAACGGACTATACTGATGGTTTTGATAGGTTTTAACTACCCTATAAGGTACTAGTGAGTCAAAGTTTTCAAATGCAATCTCATAATCTCAATTGAAATCAATAATCAGAGACAGAGCTCAGCTGAATACAATTACATTTCAGAATGTCTATATTGGATTTGACGAGAGGATTTTACTAAAATATGAAATAAAGCTTAAACATGCTGAAAATTCTAAGCAAAGCCAATATGGAACACCTCAAATACATGCTATGCAAATTTAGGAAAGAAAACAATTATGGATATTAAGCCAATTTGTATGTACTTGAGAAAAGTCAGAAAAATAAAACCACCTGTAAACTTTTCTAAACAATTTCAGTCAACTCTGAATTATCAGCATTAATGGGCGGGGCTCAAGGCATGAAAATATCTCCTAAGAGCATAAAATACAAAATACATTTCTGTTTAATGTGGAAAGCATTAAAATGCTAACATTTACATATCACCATATAACAAAATTTTTATATAAGTAATAGGCTGGGCATGGTGGTTCACACCTATATTCCTACCATTCTGGGAGGCTGAGGTGGGAGGATCGCTTGAGGTCAGGAGTTTGAGAACAGTCTGAGCAAGAGCAAGATCCCATCTCTACCCAAAATAGAAAAAATTAGCTGGGCGTGGTGACTCATACCTGTAATCACAGCTATTCAGGAGGCTGAGGCAGGAGGATTGCATGAGCTCAGGAGTTTGAGGGTGTAATGAACTATGTTGATCCACTGCACTCTAACCCGGCAACAGAGCCAGACTATTGTCTCAAAAAACAAAAATAAGTAAATAAATAAATAAAAATAAAGTACATCATGAGCGTTTTCTTTTCTTTTTTTCTAAGACAGAGTCTCACCCTGTTGCCCGGGCTAGAGTACTGTGGCATCAGCCTAGCTCACAGCAACCTCAAACTCCTGGGCTCAAACAATCCTTCTGTCTCAGCCTCCTGAGTAGCTGGGACTACAGGCATGCGCCACCATGCCCGGCTAATTTTTTCTCTATATTTTTAGTTGGCCAATTAATTTCTTTCTATTTTTAGTAAAGACGGGGTCTCCCTCTTGCTCAGGCTGGTTTCAAACATCATGAGTGGTTTTTTTTTTGAGACAGAGTCTCGCTTGGTTGCCTGGGCTAGCATGTTGTGGAGTCAGCCTAGCTCACAGCAACCTCCAACTCCTGGACTCAAGTGATCCTCCTGCCTCAGCCTCCTGAGTAGCTGGGACTACAGGCATGCGCCACCATGCCTGGTTAATTTTTTCTCTATATATTTTTAGTTGGCCAATTAATTTCTTTCTATTTTTAGTAGAGACGGGGGCTCGCTCTTGTTCAGGCTGATTTTGGACTCCTGACCTCGAGTGATTCACACGCCTCAGCCTTCCAGAGTGATAGGATTACAGGCATGAGCCACTGTGCCTGACCCATCATGAGTGTTTAAAACTGCTGCTAAGTAGCCAGATCTGATATCCAGATTCAACTTTGTATGTTTTTGTACTAAGCACCAGCCTGAAATTCATTGCTTTTTCTCCAAACTTTAAAATGCTGGCTCATGCTCCTCAGGTGATTGTGATCCTAAAGTCTTTCTTGTTAATAAAGGCACAAGTTCTCCTTTCTTTGTTAGCCAGCACCTACCAAACTTCAGGCAGGATTTATGATCAAGAACCAAAGCACCCTGATAAAAACTGACAAGTAAAATGTCAAGAAAGAAGTTAAGGAGGATCAAAGCAGGTGAAAACTAAATAATTTTCATTCCTTACCTTGTTAATAAACTGAAAGATTTGAATGAGCCCCAACCAAGATTAAGAACAATGCAGAGTTGACTGCAGATATAAATGATGGACCAATTAGGGTGAATGCTACAAATAGAACAAATTATTTAAAATGGGACATGCAACATAAAATACTCACTGATATCTGGGTTAAATAAAATAGTTCACTATTTTTTCCCCAAAGTTTCATTTCAAAGATTAATTTCATTTCAAAGATTAAATGATCCAGGTGAAAATAAATTTAATTTTCAACAGGACTAATGATATCCAACTCAGTTTAATACCAAACCAAAGGGTGGGGGGGGTGGTATGAGGTTAGCCATGAAATGGAAAACTGTTGGCATAGTCAGAAAGTTTCTGACACATGAAATGGTGCTTTGAGCCAGTCTTGATTTAGGAGATTTACCTACCGACTGTTTGCTGTTTTCGTCCTCTTCTTCCTCATAACCATCTTCATCACCCCCTAGGCGAGAAAAGTCGTCCTCTCCATAGGCATCAGATACCAACCCACCTTTCTCTTCTGAAACAGTTAAAAAAAAAAAAAAAAAAAGTATAGGGGATGTAAGAAAATTTTCCAGTGACTTGAGTGGCTAGGACTATCTCTGAAGATAAAAGGGAAACCTAAATCTCATGTAAGTGACCACAGGCCCAAATCCTGCCCTCAGGAAAGCCAAAATTTAGTGGACAAAATCATTAAAAGAATAGGGAAAAAAACCAACAGATTCAGCCTGTCTATTATGTCAGTTGAATCCTTCCCTTCTCTGAATAATAGCACATTGTTTGAACACCTCTTTTAACACACATCTCATATCTCAACCTTATACCATAGGCAACTGTGAACTAGTCTTCTTGAACAAGACAGAGGGACTGTCTTCCTCATTTTTGTATGCTTTTTCCTCGAACAGGACCAGGGGCACTCCAACGGGTTTCCAAATCAAACCTACTTGAAAAAACCTTTTTCTTAATTTAAAGCAAAACAAACAAAAACACTACATAGTGCTAGGAAACCAATGGGAGCATTCTGACTGGAAGAGACCATACAAAACAACAAAATATGAGAGTAGCTAATCTAATACCTCTCACTTTCCAGATGAAGAAACCAAGGTCCAGATATAAAATACTAGGTAACTTGCTCTCTCCATTCTCCCCAAGAAATCTATTCCCCTTCTTTAACTTTGTGATTCTCAACTTGAGGACGACAACAAAATCACCAATAGGCTTTACAAATTCACAAAGTAACAGAATCACGCAGGAACCTTAAAGAGTTCACAAATGCCCATATCTCACTCCGGATGTACCAAAATACATCTTACTTTGGAGACCAGATATATTCACTTTTAAAAGTTCCAAGATGCGTTTGGGGCACACTTCTAATTAAAAACTTATAAACTTAACAAAACGTTTTTCACCCTCCATGTATGTTTTACTCATTGCTCTCTCCCATCTGAACAACGAGCCCAGAGGGAATAGATAGTTCAGCAGCCTTGAATACCTCTCTCTCATCCATCTCTCTGCCACCACGATGCCCGGCACGGAGAAAACTTTCAGTAAATTTCGGCAGAATAATGGGAACAACAGGAAAGAGACGGTTCATTCTTACTACAGAGTCTATAATGCTCCATCCCACCCGGGACCCCTACCGCGCTTCGGGGCCCGCTCCTGGGGGCACAATAATCATTTCTTTCCCTCCCGCCCCGCTAGGCGGGCAGTGTTCCGGGCAGACGCCTGATTTCCCCTTCCAGTTTCCCACTGGGGCCTCACCAGCTGCGCTGCCCACCGCTTCGACTCCAGCCTCGCCGTCAGATTCGGGCTCTGAATCTTCTGCGTAAACTGCCAGGGACGACAGAACATTCTTCTTCCCCGCCATCTTATTCCCACAGACTCGGCGTGGCTCACTCTAATGACTCAAAGCAGCCGACTTCCGTGCGGAAAGACAACTTCTTCCGGATCCCAAGAGACCGCGCGCCAGACTGGAAGCCAATCAAAAGGGCCGCTTCTGAGCCTTGCCCTGCTTCTCTTCACAGCGCTAGCGTAACGTCATCACTACGCGACGGATATAAAGTTGTGTGCGTTCTGCCTAATGCTGAATTCGCAGCAGTTTCTGGCTTCTCAGAGTTGCGGTTGGTGTCCCGGGTCTTCGAGTAGTTCCAGAGCCAGCGGGGCCCAGCAAGAGTCCTTCATTCCGGGACAGTCCACGGCCGGCTTCCGATATCTTGCGTTGCAGAGGGAGACATCGGTTGGCCAAGCGAGAAAATTGCAAATCTGGGTCTCAGAGGAAGAGAGAAGGGGCGGGGTCTTGTAGGGAGAGCGGGGGGCGGGGGAGAAGAATGGTTGTCATGGCTGCACTTAGAGAAGGAGCAGAAGGTGGATCTTAGAAAGACGATTCTACGTTCTCCCAACTATTCCGAAGACATTTTGTGTTTCTTCTCGTTAACTGATTTATAGCTCTGTGCTATACCGTGGCCTGGGACACTTCAATATTTTTATTTTCATTGAGCATAAAAATGGAGATGTTAAATACTCAGGAATGTATTGCTTGAGGCAGTTCATCTGCAGCTTTATTACTTGAAAATTATATATTTAATGTAGTAAGTTTTTACTCACAGAGAAAAATAAGCTGTATTTTTGAAGCAGAACAAAGGGTTCTTGTGGCAACCTTTCACCACTTTTGCCTTAACATTTGGCCACTGTTTTTCACTAAGATGAACATCTGCCCTTCCTCCTTTCCTTTTGACCCTGAGCGGCGAGTCCAGACCACGTTGAAGAAGGTCTTTGGGTTTGACTCTTTTAAGACGCCTCTACAGAAGAGTGCGACCATGGCTGTAGTAAAAGGTAATATTACCAAGCTACCTGCCTTTACATTTGTGCTGACTGTACCATAACACCACAGCTGAACACCCTTCTCCTGACCCTTTTTTACCTCCCTACCCTTGGTCCATAATTAGTTTTGGAAATATTTTAGACTTGTCACTCAAAGCTTGCAGTTTTAATGGCAGAACTTCTGGTTCTTATATTTCATAGCTAGAGCTACAAATTGTGTTTGAAAACAGTTCATAGACTCCCATTATTGTTCATTTGTGTGTAGGCAGTAGTGAGGATGGCTTGAATTGCCTAACCACTGACCTACTACTCGTTCATCCCCTTGTTGAAGATCGAGTGGCCTGGGTCCCAGCAAAAGAAGAACTAATAATATTATAAGCCTGAGATATGGTGACAAATGGAGGTGATCAAGATGGGAGCAGTCCTGTAATATTAATGATACATTTATAAACAAAACACCTCTAATATCCTGCCATGTCTACACAGATATCCCAACTTTTCTAGCAGTATTCTGCTTTCATGGATGTTTCATTCAATCATCTATATTTCAGCAGACTCAGGCTTCCCTACCTTTGTTTTTTTGGGTTTTGTTTTTTTGTTTTGAGACAGAATCTCACTCTGTCATTCGGGGTAGAATGCAGTGGCATCATTGAAGCTCACTGCAACCTCAAATTCCTGGGCTTATCCTTTTGCCTCAGCCTCCCGAATAGCTGGGAGTACAGGTGTGCAACATTATGCCTGGCTAAATTTTCTGTTTTTAGTAGAGAAGAGGTCTCACTCTTGGTCAGGCTGGTCTGGAACTCCTGAGCTCAAGCAGTCCTCCCGCCTGGGCCTTCCAGAGTGCTAGGATTACAGGCGTGAGCCACTGTGCCCAGCCCCTACCCTTGTTTTCATTACCATTACTGGAATTGGGGGTGGGGGGAACATTTCCAAGTCTCCCAGGATCCCTGCCCTTTTCACAGAAAGGATGGGAAGGAAATTAATGTTGTATTGAGACCCTCCCCTGTGCCATATACTTTGCTAGGTGCTTTTCCTACATTCTCATTTAATTTTCAAGAACCTGGATGAAAAGGCAGGAAGCATTGAGATATTGTCTTCTTATGTTTTTGCAGGGGACAAGGATATCTTTGTGTGCATGCCCACGGGGGCAGGAAAATCCCTCTGCTATCAGCTTCCTGCACTGTTGGTCAAAGGCATCACCCTTGTAATCTCACCTCTCATTGCTTTGATTCAGGTGAGACTTAGGAGATTAAGATGGTAGCCCAAAAAGATTAAGTGAAGGTTTTTTATAGCTGGAAATTTCACTTCTCCTTTATCTGGTCTTTTGCCTATTATTTTTTCTGATTTGCCTGTTTCACTCTCTATATATGGTTTCTGAATTGCCCAAATGAAGGGTTCTCCACTCGTGCATATCACTCTGTGGGTCATGAATGAGCCTTCTATGTTTTGATGGCCTGAGATCTCTCACCTTTTTTGCTTATTTTTTCTCCAGAGGAGTATGGAACTGTAGCTGTACATACATACTCAGTCCCACATGTACACATCTGTGTACTCATGGTGTTAGGGTAGAAGATGCAGATGTATAGATAGCTAAACTGACATGAGGAATCCCTGGTGACCTGCTTTATTTTGGTAAGAGCACAGTATGTGAAACAGAAAAAAAATATGAGAAACTTGTTAACATCTGCTCTGCAGATGTTGTGACTATATTTAAGGCCTGCACATGGGCTGATAGAATCAGAATTGGGGAAGAGTGGCCATGTGCTTAAGATCCAACCACCATAAAGAAAGGTAGAGAGGGAACAGCAGTAATACTTGGTGCATGTTCATTAGGTCTCAGGCTTTGTGCTAAGTGCATTATACACATTAATTTCATCATTGAGATGTAAAATTTCCTTTAATTCATACAACAGTCCTAATAGATAGTTACTATTTTCATAGCAAAGGGAGAGAGAAAGAGAAAGGAAGAAAACTGAGTCTTAGATGTTAAGAAACAGCCAGAGAGCATGTGGCAATTAAGTGAGCCAGAATTAAATCCAGGTCTGTTTGACTCCAGACCCTGTACTGAAACACCTTGACTTCTGTACGGGTTGAGCATCCCTAATGTGAACATCTGAAATCTGAAACTTTTTGAGTGCTCACATGACACCATACTGGGAAATTCTATACCTGACCTCATGTGAGATGAGTCCAGTCAAAACAGAGACAAAACTTTTCATGCACAAAATTATTAAAAAGAATATATAAAATTAAACTTTCAGGACATGAAGTATGCAAAAAAAAATTATATGACCTTACCTTCAGGCTACGTGTATAAGGTGTACGTGAAATATAAATGAATTTCATGTTTAGACTTGGGTCTCATCCCCAGGATTCCTCATTATGTATATGTAAATATTCCAGAACCCAAAAATATCTGAAATCCAAAACACTTCTGGCCCCAAACATTTCGGATAAGTGCTACCCAGCCTGTTTTTCTGTGCAAAGAGAAGACATACTGGAGAGTAGGAGGAGGACATTTTATGACAGGAAATCCCCCAGGAAATTGCAATGACATTTACCTGAGTTCTGAGGGCCAATTATACTCCTCTCTGTGGCTTTATCCGTTCTGCCCTCAGGACCAAGTGGACCACTTGCTGGCTTTGAAGGTACAAGTGCGTTCCCTGAACTCGAAGCTCTCAGCACAGGAGAGGAAGGAGCTGCTCTCTGACCTGGAGCAAGAAAAGCCCCAGACCAGGCTTCTGTACATTACCCCAGAGATGGCGGCATCAGCCTCCTTCCAACCCACCCTGAACTCCCTGGTATCCCGCCACCTGCTCTCTTATTTGGTTGTGGATGAAGCTCATTGTGTTTCCCAGTGGGGACATGACTTCCGTCCTGACTACTTGCGTTTGGGTGCCCTGCGCTCCCGCCTGAGACATACCCCATGTGTGGCTTTGACTGCCACAGCCACCCCGCAGGTCCAAGAGGACGTGTTTGCTGCCCTGCACCTAAAGCAGCCAGTTGCCACGTTCAAGACTCCCTGCTTCCGGGCCAACCTCTTCTATGATGTGCAGTTCAAGGAACTGATTTCTGACCTCTACGGGAACCTGAGGGACTTCTGCCTTAAGGCTCTTGGACAGAAGACTGATAAAGGGGTGAGGCACTGGGGTGGGAGCCAAGCAGCACCTAGAGCTGTGGGATGCTGTCTGCAGTGTAGAGATGGCACTTGGTTTTCTAAGATCTTTGCTTTTTCTATTCCTTAGCCCAGCTTATAAAATTCATGACTTCTTGGCATTGTCCCCCTTAATGGGGTTCTCTTGTCCTGGATCCTTCTGTGGAAGGCAGGCAGCCAGCCCTCTGGATGAGGCCTGTGCAGACCACACAAGGTTTGCGGGAAGGAGGCAGAAGAGTTAACCAGGTTGAGTTTTGAGCAGCCTTGGTCCTGCTTTTTGTAAAGTAGCAGAGCCCTGCTGGGTGTCCTGCCTCAGAGGAGACTGTGAAGCTGACGGGGGGAAAGAGCAGAGTGCTACTCTTGAAGCAGGTCACACTACAGCAGACCGATTGTTCCTTCCATGCTTATTTTCTTCCTGCATCTCCCCATTCAGCTGTTGTCCGGCTGCGGCATTGTCTACTGCAGGACTAGAGAGACTTGTGAACAGCTGGCCATAGAGCTCAGTTGCAGGGGTGTGAACGCCAAGGCTTACCACGCAGGTAAGGTGCGCCCAGGCCACGTGGGCCTCTTCATTCTCACAGGCCTCTTAACTGGTCTCTTGTTCCTTATAGATCCTGACTATCAGGTGGTCCACTATCTTTTTTGCAGATAATCAGGCAGAGCTAAAGTGATTCATTTAAATCCCCTAAAAAGAGTCTAGACATGAATGAGGTCTAAAATGAGAATTGTGACTCCTGAATTCTTTTTCTACTCACTCCGTGCCCACCCAGCAGCAGGTGATGAGTTTTTATAAGCCCAGGTGTTGGTGTTATAGAAAGAGCACAGGCTTTGGAGGCCAGCAGACTTGGGTTTGAATCATGGCCTAATGTTTATTGAATGCTCTGTGCCCCTCATGGGCTAGGGTCTTTATGTCTGTCAGCTGAGGCTCAGTGAGGTTAAGTGCCTGGCCCAAGGTCATCCAGCTGGGAAGTGATGGAGTCAGAGTGAAGTGCCCAGCATAGTGTCAAACCCAAAATAGATCCCAAGGGAAATGCAAGTTCCCTTCCCCATCTTCCCCTCCTCTGCAGGGCTGAAGGCTTCTGAAAGAACACTGGTGCAGAACGAGTGGATGGAGGAGAAGGTCCCTGTAATTGTTGCAACCATCAGTTTTGGAATGGGAGTGGATAAAGCCAACGTCAGGTGAGCTTTAGTTCTTGCCTTAACTTTCTGATCTGGGCCTGCCCCAGGATGGGCTTTCTAGTACTCTGCTAAAATGAGCAGGTCTCTGTGCACGTAGGGCCAGAGGGGAAGGAGGCTCCAGGAGAGAGTCCTTGGCACACAGCCTGAACGCTGATAGTTCTGTATAGCCTGCTTCCAGTTGACTATGCAGCACGATTCTGCCATCCCCCAGGAAAGGGGACAGCATACAATTTGTTGGGCTTGTCCACTAATGCAGCTGCCTCACATCTTAGTGGGTGAATCCTGCAAGGGGGCTAGAATGAAGAAACTATAGTCGTGCTCCACATGTTGATGTTTCAATCAACAACTGGTGATGTGTACAGCAGGGGTCCCATAAGATTATAAAGGAGCTGAGAAATTTCTAACACCTGCTGATTTGTGTTACAGTCGCCTGCAGTATTCAGTATGGTAACATGCTATACAAGTTTATAACCTGGGAGCAATAGGCTATACCATATAGTCTAGGTGTGTAGTAGGCTGTGCTATCTAGGTTTGTGTAAGTACACTCTATAATGTTTGCCCAATGATGAAATCATCTAATGACAAATTTCTCAAAATGTATTCTGTCATTAAGTGAGACATGACTATATTTTAAGCTGCTCTCGGTGGGAAATCAAAGGCAAAGCTCTTATTACTACCACTTTTTATTACTGCTTACTGCCAGTCTAAAAGAGTCGGGGTGCATCCCAGCCTCCTAGCCCCACACTAGCAACTACTGGGGAGGCTTTTACCTCTAGCCATGGCCTGACCTTCAAGAGGCATTTTGGGCTACAGCCTGAAGCCCTTTACTTTGATTAACACTAAACAATAATGCCTTGTATGGTTTACGGAGCACTCTTGTATACATGGTCTCGTTGAGCCTCACAGTGACCCTGAGTTAGTCAGGGTAGGAATTAGTGTATTACATTTGAAGAACACAAACTTTGGAATTAGAGTTTGAGCCCTAGGTCTGCAGTGTCTTTTTAGGAGCCAGCTTTTAAGTGAGACACCCCTATGCTCAAATCCTAGCTCTACTGTCCCCTCACTCTTTGACCTTGTACCAATTTACCTCATTGAGTCTCAAGTTCATCTTCTGTAGAATGGGCTACCTGAAATGATGGTGACTAACAATTAAATGAGGCAAATACATAAACTGGCTCATAGTTGATATTTAATAAATATTATCCCTTTCCCTCTTCAAAGAAGTTATAAAGGACTTCTTTAAGGTTGTGTAGCTCCTAAGTGGCAGAGCCTAGTCTTGTTTCTTTTTGTTTTCTTTTTTTTTTTTTTTTTTTTTGAGCCAGAGTCTCACTTTGTTGCCCAGGCTAGAGTGAGTGCCCTGGTGTCAGCCTAGCTCACAGCAACCTCAAACTCCTGGGCTCAAGCAGTCCTAGTGCCTCAGCCTCCCAAGTGGCTGGGACTACAGGCATGTACCACCATGCCCGGCTAATTTTTTCTATATATGTTAGTTGGCCAATTAATTTCTTTCTATTTATAGTAGAGACGGGGTCTCGCTCTTGCTCAGGCTGGTTTTGAACTCCTGACCTCGAGCAATCCGCCTGCCTCAGCCTCCCAGAGTGCTAGGATTACAGGCGTGAGCCACCGCGTCTGACCTAGCCTTGTTTCTTTAGGTCCAGTATTTTTTCCACTGGGCCCTGGCTGATCTGGCTGATTATTTTTTTGGTTCCCCGTATGTACTGCAGTTGCTTCTTAACTCCAGCTGTGGCCTCTAGGCTGCTCCTATCAGGAAGACCTGCTGATGGGCCACAGGTGTCTTAGCCATGCTTACTCTGGGCTCTTCCCTGTGCCTTCCTACCTGGTGGCCTCCCCACTCCTAGTCACTGTGCAAACAGCTCTGCTCTCCTAACTCAGGATCACTCCTGCGAGGGGCACTTAGTGCTTCTGACACATCTCACGCTGCTTGTCACTTCTGATCCTACAGGTTTGTCGCCCACTGGAATATTGCCAAGTCAATGGCTGGATACTACCAGGAGTCTGGCCGGGCTGGTAGGGATGGAAAGCCTTCCTGGTGCCGTCTCTATTACTCTAGGAATGATCGGGACCAAGTTAGCTTTCTGATCAGGAAGGAAGTATCGAAACTTCGGGTAAGTCCTGGGAAATAGAAGCCTTTTCTGTCTGAGCCCACCACTCTTCAGTTCCATGTAGCTTATTTCAGAGCCCAAATGGAGCTTCTATAAAATAGTGCTCCCAGCCTAGAAGTATAGCAAGGTGGAAATGCTGTGTTGGTAGGCAGCTGCAACAAGCTAGGTTAGACTTTTATTTATTTATTTATTTTGAGACAGAGTCTCACTCTGTTGCCTGGGCTAGAGTGTCATGGCATCAGCCTAGCTCACAGCAACCTCAGACTCTTGGGCTCAAGCAATCCTTCTGCCTCAGCCTCCTGAGTAGCTGGGACTACAGGCATGTGCCACCATGCCTGGCTAATTTTTTTTTTCCTCTATATTTTTAGTTGGCCAGTTAATTTCTTTCTATTTTTAGTAGAGATGGGGTCTCACTCTTGCTCAGGGTGGTTTCAAACTCCTGACATTGAGCTATCCGCCCACCTCAGCCTCCCAGAGTGCTAGGATTACAGGCGTGAACCACCGCACCCAGCCTAGGTTAGACTTTTTCCTTCATAAAAGTTTAAATGATCTTTTTTTTTTTTTTTTTTTTTTTTGAGACAGTCTCACTCTGTTGCCCGGGCTAGAGTGCCGTAGCACCAGCCTAGCTCACAGCAACCTCAAACTCCTGGGCTCAAGCGATCCTTCTGTCTCAGCCTCTGAGTAGCTGGGACTACAGGCATGTGCCACCATGCCCAGATAATTTTTTCTATATATTTTTAGTTGGCCAATTAATTTCTTTCTATTTTTAGTAGAGACAGGGTCTCGCTCTTGCTCAGGCTGGTTTTGAACTCCTGACCTTGAGCAATCTGCCCGCCTTGGCCTCCCAGAGGGCTAGGATTACAGGTGTGAGCCACCGTGCCTGGCTGAGTTTAAATGATCTTGATTCTGCCTTTTATGTACATGTTATTTTATAAAGTCAAGATCAATCCTGCTTTTTTAAAAAAAGAGATAATAAGGAAATTACTGATTTAATAAGAAATTGATGGTTGGTTTGATGGTAGTAGATTAACATTGGGGGCTTGGGAGTAGAGAAAATATGTGTGTTTGCAGGGGCGGGGGGATGAGTCACCTCCCCAAAGCAGAAAGTCAATAGATAATGTCTCATATATCAGTGTCTGTTTTATTCACTTTTCTGTATTTTTTTTAAAAATTCACAGTTTTTAAAAAAGAAATTTTAGTAAATAGACATGTACAAAAAAGGCCAGTGACAGATAATCACATTATTCAGAAATAACCACTAGTCAGCGACTAGTCCATAGCACAGCCTTAAAATGTGTGAAGTCAGAAATTTCCTGAGAGCAGAGCAGGAACAGAGCTTCAGTCAGTAACAGGGAAATTACCTCCAGGAATGGGCATGGAAGGAAGTTAGCTGCTGTCTTTACAGCTCCACTGCCCTGACAAAGTGTCCACATTCTAAAGGTATAGTGTCCATCCCTCCTGTACTGGCTTCAGCCCAAGGTGAGCCTGTCTTTTTGATTAGAGACATATGCAGAGGAAGTCCCTCTGGGAAGGCCAGGAGTGCTGATGGCTCAGCCATTGGAACCACCTGTTCCTGCCCCCCCTCACCTCCAGTGGGAGCCACAGGGAGGCTGGCTAATGGGTGCCTGCGATTGACAATGTGGCAGAGACTCGTGCTGCCACCTCCCTCCCACCAGAGATGGGCTGTGTCCCACTGTGTCCCTGTCCCCACTCTCCAGCAGCCATTCCCTGGCTTCCCAGATTTAAAAAAGAAAGGAAGTGGCTGGGGTGTGGTGGTTCACACCTGTAATCCTAGTACTCTGGGAGGCCAAAGCAGGATTGCTTGAGACCAGCCTGAGAAAGAGTGAGACCCTGTCTTTATTAAAAATAGAAAAAAAATCAGCTGAGTGTCATGGTGTACACCTGTAGTCCCAGCTACTCGGGAGGCTAAGGCAAGAGGATTGCTTGAGCCCAAGAGTTTGAGGTTGCAGTGAGCTACAACGCCGCTGCACTCTACCCAGGATGAGAGAGTGAGACTCTGTCTCAACACACAAAAAAAAGGAAGAAAGAAAGTAATGAAAACAGGAAACTATTGTGTTAGGGAGAGGTGGGAGGGGGGAGATGAAAACGGTTTGGATTTTGTGTAAGGTTTTTTTTCCCCATAGTTGTAACTTAAGTGTTTTTTTTTTCTTTTTTCCTTTTTTAAAAGTAAGTTGTAGGCTTTGGCTTGGAAAACCCTGGGGGATGGAGGGCAGAATCCTGAGGCTACTGCCTCTTTATCTGCCTTAACAGTACTGTCTCCTTCACCTAGCTCCTCCCTGGCTCCAGAGCCAGGCCTCAGACCTTCCAGCTAGCTGCTTCCCATGAGCCACTACTCTGATGTCAGCCTGTGGCCAAGGGAGCTGGGGTCCAGGCCTGGTGACCAACCCTTCTCAGTCAGGATGCTCCCTACCTGCAGGTAGAAGGTGACACCCTATCTGTATTATCAGCCCCTTCCAGAGCCCCTTGCCCTGCCCTGTGCCATCTGGGGTGCTTTGCTCAGTGATGGGTCAGCAGGGCTGCTGTCAGCCTCCTGGGTAAGCAGAGACTCAAGAAACCTCTAGGGTCCTGTTTTGTGGTCATGTCATCCCAGGGGTGCACTTGGTCCCCTGGGTGTTTGAACAGAAGGGCATGGGAGGGAAGGTTGCACCCCTGCAGTCTTACTCTGTTGTTTAGTGGGCAGCTTGCCTACCTCTACCCTACCCTGTACCACAGGCTTCTGAGTCAGCATTTTTAAAATTGTATTTGTTTTAAATTGTACATGTTTTAAATTTGTCACACAAATTCATTGTTAACATTTTAGTTTTTTTTATTTTTATTTTATTATTATTATTATTTTTTATTTATTATTTTTTTTTGAGACAGAGTCTTGCTTTCTTGCCTAGGCTAGAGTGAGTGCCGTGGCGTCAGCCTCGCTCACAGCAACCTCAAACTCCTGGGCTCAAGCAATCCTACTGCCTCAGCCTCCCGAGTTGCTGGGACTACAGGCATGAGCCACCATGCCCGGCTAATTTTTTATATATATATATATATATTAGTTGGCCAATTGATTTCTTTCTATTTTTATAGTAGAGACGGGGTCTCGCTCAGGCTGGTTTTGAACTCCTGACCTTGAGCAATCCGCCCGCCTCAGCCTCCCAGAGTGCTAGGATTACAAGCGTGAGCCACTGCGCCGGGCCGAACATTTTAGTATATATCCTCCAATCTGTATATAAATATATATGTTCATACATATGTAAATACACAACACTCATGTATGTTTACTATTAAATTAGATCACATTATATAGTGTTTCCCAAATGCTAGTCCATGGGTCTTTTGAATAGGAAGAGCTTTTTGAAAATGGAAGTTCTCAAAAGCTTCAGTCCCAGATTGAATGGTCGGGGGGTTCTCATGGGACACTGTGCATTACTGTCTGTGGCTACAGGTTTGTCCAATTCTATAAGACTTGCTAAGTGGTTTTTGTCTCTAGGAAAAGAGAGGGAACAAAGCATCTGATAAAGCCACTCTCTTGGCCTTCGATGCCCTGGTGACTTTCTGTGAAGAATTGGGGTAAGTGAATTATTTTATATGTAGAGCAAAGAATCAGTGAGGTAATTTCTTCCCCTAGCACACACTAGTTAACCAGCTACCATGAGACAGCCTTCGGGCCACCAAGGGATGCCTGTCTGTTGAAGGCCATTGTGTTAGGCAGCATGAAAATCAGGACCTTCCTCTTCTCTTTGAGAGGCCCCAGAAACTGTGGCAGTGTGAGGATTTGGTCAGCATTTTGGGTAGTTACCTATCGCCCCATCTTATCTCCCTTCTTGGATGGCTGGCCTCACAAGCAACTCAGTCCTGAGTTCTGAGCTGTCGGCATTGTGGTCATCATGTGTCACTGAGCTGGGACTTCTGGTTTCACTTGAGTAGTACCCACTCTTGTCCAGGACCCAAACAGACGCATATGACCCAGCTTATCTCTTGAGGAGGTGAGGTCATGTGCTTTGAACCTGCTATGTATTTTATCTGGTGACGGCATCTGCAGGTGACGGCATCTGCAGGTGATGGCAGGGGCTGTGGAAAGAGCCTGATGGCCCCTCAATGATAGGCTGTGGCTGGGCATGTGAAGCTATGAGTGCCCAGATAAGGGACACCCAGGAGGATTTTCTGCACTTGTGTTTAAAAAGCTCTTGAACTTAGCTGATCTCATGGAATGATGCTGTGAGGAGATGAGGCAGAATTGATTGCTTCAGACTTAGAGATGAATAAATAGAGGTCTAGAGAGGTCATAGTCACAAAGCTCATAATAGATGGAAGCCACTAAACCCGGGTCTCCTGATTTTCAGTGCTCATTTTCATACACATGTGCCATATTGGTTTTTGCAAGACTAGAGTCTTTTTTTTTTTTTTTTTTTTGAGACAGAGTCTTGCTTTGTTGCCCAGGCTAGAGTGAGTGCCATGGCATCAGCCTAGCTCACAGCAACCTCAAACTCCTGGGCTCAAGCAATTCTACCACCTCAGCCTCCCGAGTAGCTGGGACTACAGGCTTGCGCCACCATGCCCAGCTAATTTTTTCTATATATATTAGTTGGCCAATTAATTTCTATTTATAGTAGAGACAGGGTCTCGCTCTTGCTCAGCCTGGTTTCGAACTCCTGACCTCAAGCAATCCGCCCACCTCGGCTTTCTAGAGTGCTAGGATTACAGGCATGGGCCACCACGCCCGGCCGAGAGTCTTGAAGCACAATGCTAAATAAGTACATAGTACTGGTGTCTAGCAGGTGTTTTAGGCTCTCCTCTGGTAACCAGAGAGGCTTTTATTTGGGCTGTATTTTTTTGTTTGTTTTGAGACAGGGTCTCAGTCTGTGTTCCAGGCTATAGCGCAGTAGCATCATCAAAGCTCATACAACCTCAAACTCCTGGGCTCAAGAGATCCTCCTGCCATAGATCCGAGTAGCTGAGACTACATGTGTTTGCCACCATACCTGGCTAATTTTTTAGTTTTTGTAGAGATGGGGTCTCACTATTGCCCAGGCTGGTCTTGAATTTCTAGCCTCAAACTATCTTTCCACCTTGGCCTCCCAGAGTGCTGGGATTATAGGCGTGAGCCACTGAGCCTGGCCTGGGCCATGTGTTTTGATTCCTACCCCCCTCTTATTCACTAATGAGTCAGTAGCTCCTGGACTGAAGCTGTTTCCTTTTCCAAACAGCCGTTTCTAATTTGGCCTCTGTGGCCAGACCAAACCCAGCAGAAGTGGTAGGCTGCAGTGCCAGGACTACCTTTCCCTATAGCCATTGCAGCCAAAGTCCTTTTTGGGCACTAATACAGGGAGTTGCTAAATTTGCCTTTCTTAGGCTCCTTGAGCAGAGCTCTCATTTCTGGTGAGGAATGCAAGATTATTGCTAACTGTCAGAGTCTCCTCTGCTGGACAGAACCCTGGGGCTGGGTCTGGGGCTCTGGAGGGCTGTTAGTTCTGCTGCATCCCCAGAGGCAGCCCAGCCTGTCAGGCAAGGGCCTCTGCCTATATTTCTCCTGTCTCATTCCAGGGAGTTGGGACTTCCTAGTGCATCAGTGGGCTGGTTGTGGGGGTGGGGTCTAGGCATTGTGGGCCCAAGCAGTCCAGGTGACCAACTCCCCCTGCCCCATGTGCAACTCATACTGCTGTGGGTCGTTTGCCACATGTGCAGGCTCTGGATTCTAGGCCCCAGGCTGGAATAAACACTGTGGGTGTGTCTGTAGTGGCCATAGCTCTTTGAATGAAAGAGGACGTCTGTCTGTTGCACAAATGGTGTATAGCATTCCCTTCTCCGCAAGAGAGTTACTCCTTTTCTAAGAATAGTTCTGGTTGGAGGTTGAAGTTGAAGCAGCTGTTCCCACTAACGATCCCTCTGGGTGGGCTCCTGGCAGCAAAGGACAGAGCCAGTGGGGTACAGAGCCAGTGGGGTGGGTTCAGCAGAGGCAGGAACACTTTTACAAAGAAAGGTGTTGTGAGGTCTGGGTGCATGGGGGTGGGGCAGCAGAAATGATGCTCAGGTCAGTTACACCTGAGGCTGGGCTGGACAGCCAGCAGTTTCCCCTCTTCTCTGCATATGGCTACTTTCTCTAGGCTGTAGCCTTGAAAAGCTGTATTTATTTATTTATTTATTTTTTAAATTTCAGCATATTATGGGGGCACAGATTTTAAGATTTCAATAAATACCCATTTCTCCCCCTCTCCCCACAAGTCTGAGTCTCCAGCATGACCATCCCCCAGATGGTGCACATAAAAGCTGTATTTATTTATTCATGCCAGGGCTTTTTATCTTTTAGTGTCACAGGGAATAGTTATTAGTTTTGAAGCGTCCTCTGGCCTAGAGGTCCTTCCTTTGAGAAGGAAGACCAGCTTTGTGTGTAGGCCTGGAGTGAACTGGGCTCTGTGGTCTCCTGGGATCTCTGGGCTAGGGTAGCCCACCAGCCTGCGTCCTCCTGCTCATTCATTCATTTATTTAGCCAAACAAGTGCTAATGGATAGTGACTCTATGCCAGACACATTGGGCATGGGGGAATACAATGCTGAGCAGAAAGAGACCCCTCCTGCTTTGATGGTACTTGATCCATTGGGGAAGATGGGCACTTATCAGATAATGACATTAAAAACATGTAAGTTCTATTAAATGGGGTTTGAAGAAAAGGTACATGGTGATTGAGTGTATATAACAGATGGCGCTGCCCAAGTCTAAGAGGGTCAGGGAAGATTTACTTGAGGAAGTCAGGTTTAGCCTGAGGTCTGAAGGATGAGGAAGCACTAACTATGGCAAGGAGTGAGGTGTTGTGTGAAGGAGAACATTGCAGTCAAAAGGAATAGCATGTGCAAAGACCCTGTGGTAGGAGAGAACACACCATATTCAAGAACTGAAACACATGCCCAGAACCCAGACGCAGCATGGCTAGAGACACAGTCAGGGCCAGACCATGCAGGGACTTGAAGGCTTTGCTAGGAAAGCTTGCTCTTGGTCTAGGTAGAAAATGAGCTCTCACAAGTTAGCCAATTTGAAAAGGAATTTTTACTTCATGTGGTTATTTGTGTCTTTCTCTGTGAAGGATTTGTGAAGTTGCTGGCTGTGGCTGTGAGCCTGTTAGAGGACCTTGTTAGCCATTGCTCATCTCACTGAGGCAGCGGAGAGGCCCTCTCCTTGTGATTTCAGAGTCCAAGTGGCAGCAGGGAAGGGGGTGGCCAGAATTGGTCTCAGACCAGCCTCCACATCTTGCTAATTAGATCCAGTATTTGACTAGACACTTTCCTGGCAGGAATAGAAGACGCCAGGGCTTGGACCCCAAGCCAGAGGGGACCGTGTGGGGGCTCACTGCCAGTATAGGGGACAGCAGGTCAGTTCACCTCCCCTGCTGCTGTCTCAGCCCCCAGGAAGTGAGATCAGTCCTCTTCATATGAGTTGTCTTCTATCCGTTGGAGCCAACCAAACACAATAGCAAACAGGATGAGAAGCAGGACTGTAGTGATGAATAAGCCAATCACTGCCAGGCCCCCCTTCTCCCAGGGGTTCTCCCAGAACTCATCCTTCCAATCTGACTTCTGCACTATTATTTGGTCCATGTGAACCTGGAAAAGAGGGACAGAGGTCCTGAGTGCAGAGAACTCTCCAAGGCCCTGTCCCAGGTGCTATGCTCCACTTCTCAACTTCAGCCCCTGTAGCAGTCTCGGTGAACAGCTGGCCATCCTCTGCAGCCAGCGGAGGCAAAGGGATGGTGAGTCTTTGGGCTTAATGCCTCCAGCAAGCAACAAATGGAGTTTCCTCCTCTATAGAAATAGAAGCTGAAGTGTTGCAAAGGGAGGGGCCCTGGATTCTCCAGTTGTTTTTTCCTGAGTAGCCCGGATGTGTGAGCAAGGACTTTTTCTCTTATCCCTGAGACCTACTCAGCTAGAATCAGAAAAGTACCACTATAGATTCTATTTTTCCTGCCCCAGTTGCCAAACACTTGAGAGACATTTTGAGAGATCAGTTTAGGAGCCAAGGCATGGACTGACTTTGGCTGAGACCATGGTAAACTTCCCTGGAGGTAGCTGAAAACAGAAGGACTAACTCATCTTCTTGAAGTGGATCTAACATCCACACGAGCCTGTAGCCAGTTGAAGGAAAGACAGGTAATGAGGGGAGGAGGCATTACCTGATTTTGCTGTTGACAGTCCTGTGTCCCACGACTGCAAATCCTGGTAGTCCTTCAGGGCCTGCACGTTAAGGCGGTAGCCTGAGCTGAAGGCCTGCCAGGTGACCAGAACTGGGCTGACTCAAAGAAGCAACTGTTGAGAGGAAAAGGTATTGGCCTTGGCAAGTGGCCCTGACCACTGCCAACACCAAAGCAAACAAAGGTGGGCTGGGGCTGGTTGCCTGGCAACCAACCACATTTCCCATTTTGCCTTTCACACTCCCCCACCCCCAGCTGTGTTCTGCCCTTTTGTGATGTCATTTTGGGGAGTACTCAGGACACATGTTAATGAGTCATTCCTGACAGAAGCCAGAATGGGGTGGAGGTGGGGTAGGGGAAGAGACTGTTTCCAGGGCTTTTGCCCTGGGCCACCTGTCCCCCTCACCTGTGGCTGGGTCTTGGCTCTCCTCTGTCTAGATGACCTGTTGACTAAGGGGACCTGCCCAGAGCTTGGGAAGCACTGGGGCTGGGACTGCCACATAGGCGTTGCTTCTTGTAGCGCAGAGTAAATGATTAACTGCAGCCCCAGCTGGCACTTCCTGGAACTAGTCTCTGAGTGGAAGTGTTTATCACCTTGAGACCTGGCTTCTCCCTTGTGCCTTTGTCTGTCTCTTAGGCACGGCCTCAGCTGCTCTGTGTGGTTGGTTCCTATCCACTGGTGCCATAGGGAAGCTAGGAAGAGGGAATAAAGGCTGTGCCCTGGTGCTTGAAACCCCATGGCCACCATTTCCTCATTTAAAAGCTATGATGTGAGGGCCTGCAGTGGCGGGAGCTGCACTAGGCACTTGGGAGACAAGAGGTAGGTCCCACCCTCAAAGAGCTTCCCTTCTGGCCTGAGGGTCATCAAGCTTGCTTGTTAGAATTAGGAGTTTGTAGAAATGCCCAGGCCCCACCTCATACCACGTACATCAGTCTCTGGGGATGCCAGAGCATCCTGTTGTTTTAAACCTCCTCAGGTGATTCTCTCAGGTGTAGGCAGGGCTGGATGACAGATGGTCAGCAAGCTTAGGAAAGGCATCCTTAACTGTCATGTGCTGCATTGTTCCTGGCTTACCCAAGGTGCTTTTGCGTCCTTGTATGAAACTTCCTGACTAATGCCCCAGGCATGCAGTGCACTCACAACCAGCAGGCTGGTCTCTGGTGTACCTTGTCCTTCTGCTCTGTCAGTTAAATCAGATGCTTATCAAGAGTGAGTTGTTTGTTCCCAAACCTGCTTATGGTAGTTGTACTTGTTATTGTAATTATATAATCAAATTTGACATCACATAAACAAATGAAGCAACAGTAATAGCCAAAACCCCAATTTTACAGATGGGGAATAGGCACAGAGAAGTTAAATAACTTACCCAAGGTCACTCAGCTAGTAAGTAACTGAATTGGGGTTTGAACCCAGCTGAACATAGAGTATGGGGTCTGAAGCACTATGCTGTACCTCAGAGTGAATGAAGAAAGTTGTTTCTATAAATACCTATTTGACCACTTAGGGATGACTTTGGAATCCTTCAAGTAATGTTCCTGTCAGAAAAAATGTAGACATGGAAACTAAATATTGGGGACATTTTTTGAAAATCCAGAATAACTTCACACTCCGATTTCTTTGCAAATGCCTTTAAGTTCTCAGGCACATATGTGTAAAGTTCTATTTCAAAGAAACCAAAACTACAAAATAGACCATACAGGAACTTTGGTTAGCAAGCCATACTCGGAGAAAAGACCCTGGCCCTACACCAAAACGACTAGCTGAGGAATATGCATATATGTGTTTCAATTTAAAATGAGATGTGTTGCCAGGGGGCCATGGCTCACACCTGTAATCCCAGCACTTTGGGAGGCGAGGGGGAAGGATTGCTTGAGGCCAGGAGTTTGAGACCAGTCTTGCAACAGAGCAAGACCCCCTCTCTACAAAGAGTAAACAAATTAGCTAGAGGGAGTGGCATGCACCTGTAATCCCAGTGTCTCAAGAGGCTGAGGCGGGAGGATCACCTGAGCCCAGGAGTTCAAGACTGCAGTGAGCTGTAATTGCACTACTGCATTCCAGCCTGGGTGATAGAACAGGACCCTGCTTCTACAAAATAAATAAAAATAAAGTAAAATGAGATGTGAAAAAAAAATTAAAGTTGAATGAGATATATGGAGAACTTAGGTGTCATGTACACAAATGTTGCTTTAACTGGCTTTTTCAGTTAACTGCTGGCCGCAGTCAGATAATTCTACTGTAGTGGTCACTGTGAAGAGACCGGTGGAGGACGCTGTTGGTACAGCCGGTGTAAGCTGGTCTGGGGGCTGAGGGGCTCTGTGTATAAAGAAGAGATTTTTCAAGTTGAGACATGAAGACTGTGTATGAGTCAGAATTAGGGGACATTGTTGTATGGTAGGAAACAGGTCCCAAGGACAGCAAAGAAACTTTTTTTTAAAGACAAAATTAATTTGTCCTCAGTTTTTTATGATCTGGAATTTGTATTACCCAGGAGCAAATATGTTGTTATGAAAATTTTTATTATAGATTGCTTTGAAGTAATAATGTTTGAGGAAACAGATTTGGGAGAAAATGCTCTCCACCAAGTTTTGCTAATGAGATTCTTGTTGCATCGGTGGCTTTATTGTAGTTTTTAATAAGGCATAATGTAGAAACAGTAAACACAGGTCTTCAGTGCAGAGTGAGGCCCCTCTGAGGAACAGAGCAGACTGCTGTGTGGCCGCGTCAGGGTGGGTGTGAAGAGGCTGGTGAGATGATTGTGGAGATGGCTGAGGATGCTGCCACAGTGATCCCAGGCATGCATTGGTGGTGGCTTGGTCCAGGATGGCTTAGTGGCGGGAACAGAGACGTGGTGGCCAGAGTCAGTCAGATATTCTCTAGGCCTCAAACAGTGATGGCCACCCCTTCCACAGCCCCTGCCTATCTCAGGCAGTGCAGGTTTGTGCATCTTTCTCTTTAGTCTCTCCTGTGGAGGTGTGGGAGGATTGCTGCTCCTCTCCGTGCCCATCTTCCCCAGAGAAGACCCACACCAGAGCTGCCCGTTCCAGGAGCGGGCCAGGGCCAGGCTGCCATTGGGCCAGAGCAGATCTGGTTTGTTGGTCCAAGTGGGACTGAGGTCTGTGTGGGACTTAGCCGGACAGCTGGGGTGAGGATGTGCCAGTTTGTTGTCAATGGAAGGAGTAAGTCCTCTGTGGGCAGGGACCGCGTCCTGTATGGACTCAGCAGTGCAGACTGCCTGGCATGGAATTGGAAGGTGCAAATGAGCCAGCCAGTCTGCCTGTCTGTGCCCAGGGCTGTCCGTGGTTCCCACCTGTCAGCAGCTGGACTGAAGCATCAGAATCATTTCTAGCAGAGCCTCAGCCGCTGCCTCCCTGAAGGATGGCCATTCTTGATGCCTAAGGAAAAGTCACATAGGAATTGGGCTGCTTCACTGTTGGAGCATGTCTGAACAGAGGACTTCCAGGGACCCTCTAGCCATGGGTGCTGGGAGTGAAAAAATGCAAGGCTTCCTGTCCCTGCCCCTTTCCTGTGTTTTTCTTCTGGGAGGAACACCTTGTTGGGCCCCACCCCAGCTCTTACCTGTTGGGTCCCACCCTCTCCCATGAAGATTATTTTGAGACAGAGTTTGGGGTGTGGGTGTTTGGGATGGGGTTGGTTGATGGAGGATAATGGATCAGGGCCTTATCTGTCTTACAACCTGGTGGCCAAGTTCCAGGCCTCAGAGCCTTGGGTGGGGTGAGCTGGGGCTGTGGAGCCAGACAGGCTGGACTCAGAGGCTGGTTGTGCCACTGTTTCAGCTGGTTGAACTTAGACAAATCACCTAGTGTCACTAATGCTCAATTTCCTTGTCTCTAAAATGGGGACAATGTATCTGCAGCATTGAGGCATTGTGATGATTAAATGAATTTGCTAAATTTGCTAAATTTGTTAAAATGCTAAAGACAATGCCTGAGCATGTATAAGCCATCTGTGAATTTTAGCCATCATTGTCATTCTGAGCCCCATTCTTTGGAGGAAGCCAAGAACAAGCAGTTTCTTAAATTTCTTTTCTCTTTTTTTCTGTGGGATGCTTCTTTGGGTCTTCAACCCAAACCTGTCAGACAAGTCCATGGACACCAGGAAATGAAACCAGCCAGTGAGAGCTGCTTCTGCCCTGCCTGTCTCTGCCAGTGTGTCAGGGGCTGGCATTGCCACTCCATGACCTGTTTTCTGTGTAGACAGGGCTCTGCTCCCAGGAAGCCAGAGCATGGGCCATGTGGGCAAGGTGATAAAAGCCTTTGAAAGACACAGACTTCTCTATGGCTCTGGGGAACCTGTGGGGAGGTGCCATAGCTCCATCCTGGTCCTGTTGGCATTTATGGAGCCGGGTGCCTCCTCTACCTTCGTTCCTGGGTCTGTAGCTCTAGCTGGAAAGTTCTCTGGAAGACAAAGTAAACTGAAGGGAGGGAGGATGGAAGGGTGTGTTGCATCTCAGCAGGACCTTTTTTTTTTTTTTTTTGAGACAGAGTCTCGCTTTGTTGCCTAGGCTAGAGTGAGTACTGTGGTGTCAGCCTAGCTCACAGCAACCTCAATCTCCTGGGCTCAAGCAATCCTACTGCCTCAGCCTCCTGAGTAGCTGGGACTACAGGCATGCACCACCATGCTCAGCTAACTTTTTCTATATATATTAGTTGGCCAATTAATTTCTTTCTATTTATAGTAGAGACAGGGTCTCCCTCTTGCTCAGGCTGGTTTCAAACTCCTGACCTCGAACAATCTGCCTGCCTTGGCCTCCCAGAGTGCTAGGATTACAGGTGTGAGCCACCATGCCCGGCCATCAGGACCATTCTTTAAAATGGGTCCATGTTGCTCTGGGTTGGTCCCTTGTTTAGAGGGGAAAATGATGAAAATAAAGTTCATATTTATGGAGCTGTTAGGATGTACCCAATACCATGCTGTGTTAGACCTAAGTCTAAGATGTTTATCCTCACAGGATAAACACACCTCACTTTATCCTAGGTCTAAGATGTTTATTCTCACTTCCTGCACCCCAGGAAGCAGAACTAGGATTAGTCCCATTTCACCAGGGAGGAGACGTGGCTTGGGGAAGTTGAGTCACACAGCTAAGTGGCAGGGTGAGGTGTGGGCCCAGACAGCACATGACGGGGAAGGGCCCAGGGTTAGGGTGCAGGTTATGGATGATACTAGGTGCCTAACCTGCTCTTACTCCAGTAGTCTGGGAAGACCCACTGGCCTAAGCCTGCTAGTGTGGGGTGTGCAGCCAAAGTGCTAGTGGAAAATGTTAAGTGGTGTTCCTGAGCCTAGCACCTAGCCTCTGTCACTCTGCAGCTTGTTAACAACTAATGCTTGGCAGGAATCTCACTGCACCCCTCCTCCATGTCCATGGCATTACCGCCTGTGTGTTTCGTGGGCACAGAACAGAGGCCTGGAAAAGACAGGTGCTGGCCACGCCCCTGGAGTTCTGGCACACCGTCCGACCTCTGAGAGTCTGGTGCCACAGAAACACATAAGCAAAGAGCTTTTACTTGGAAGTAAACAGGCCGATACCAGACTAGAATACTGACAGGTCCCGGGAGCTCGTGATGCAGTAGCTGTTGCACAGTGTCCCCCTGATGGACTTGCCCCTCCTCAGCGTGGCTAGCTCGCCCAGGTGTGGGCCATTCTCCGCTGAGTTATGGACCCCTGCTTCTTTAAAATGTGCAGGTTGACAAAGAATCCCAGGTGATTTACTCAGTCTTTGGAACTGTCGACGCCTCATCGCCATACCCAGCGTCCACTGGTGGGTAGTTATGTGCTTGTACCAGCCCTTGTTTCCTTGATAAGGCTCCAGGGGTCAGTGTCCAGGTGCATGCGCAGGGCCAGGGCTGGGGCCAGGGGATCCTGGTCTTGAGGGGCGAGGGCTGCAGGGCCAGGCGGATTCCCTGCGTCATGGCTTTGCCAGGCTTCTCTCCAGCTTCTCCTCAGCCATCGCCCCGGCCCTCATGCTGGGGTCGTGGGCTGCACTTCGATCTTCCTGCTCCTCCTCTCGGGGCAGCAGCAATGAGTGCAGCAGCAGCCGCAGGCTATCAGCAGCAGCATCAGAACCGTGGCTGGGGGGTGGAGAGAGCGCAGGGCACTCAGGGGTGGGGGAAAGAAAGGATGCCCCCTGGAGGTGTGCTAGGGCTTTCCCCAAGGTCTAGGTTAGTGGTTAGAAAGAACCGAGAGGCTGGCAAGAGGTATTGATAGTCCCCCTGCTGGCTGCCAGGGCTGACCTCCGACCTCTTCCCTGTTGTGTCTCCTCCTCCACAGCCCAAGCCTGGCTCCCTTCATCCCTGGGTTGGCATCTGGGAGGCTGCTGGGCACAGGTCCCAGCACTGCTCATCATCCGAGCAGCATGTCAGAGGATGTGGGGAAATCCCTTGGCTTCTCCCAGCAGACAGCTGCTTTTTTTCCTTGATCTGGGGGACATCTGCTACCTCTGCCTGCCTGCCATCTGGCTAGCACCATGGGTCATCTCTCCCTGAAGCCAGGAAGAGCCATGGGGCACTGAGGAGAATCTGAGTGACCCAACTGACCTGTGAAAAGGAGGATGACCGAGAAGGCCACGATCTCCACGGGGTCGGCCTGGGGGAGCCTCTGTAGCTTGAGCAGCAGCCTCTCGCCCACAAAGCGCATCTCCTGCACGAAGTTGGTGGCTGCCATGCTGTGCTGGCTTCCTGCTGGGGCAGAGAGAACACCTGGAGTCTCCGTGGCTGGCTCCACACAGCACCAGAAATTCCACCCTCTCACCCACCCTCGGCCCGAAGAACAAGTTTGGCAGGTCTCACACATCATCACACCCCAGTGGCTTCCGCTCAGTGGCCCTCAGCCCCCATCTAGCTGATACCTGCCCAGGGTGAGGGAAGCTGGGGTGAGAGTGAGACTGGGGGTCTGCTCTGGGGGGATGCTTGGCAGAGCTTAACCCTGCAGGGCTCTCAGCCAAGGCTGAGGTTGGTGACAGTTTCTGACCACAAGGTGGAGTGACTTTGCTGTTACATTCTTTTGTCTTGAACACTACTCCTAGGTTTTGCCAGAGTGCCTTGGACTGGTACAGCTTCCCTAGGTCATTCAGGACTTGGGTGCCTCCCCTGATCCCCTTGAGGTGGGGAGATAGGCTTCAGAGCCCATCTTGTGGGCAGAGGGATCAGGTTCTCCCAAGAGCAAATTCTGGCCAGGGTCAGTTATAGGTGAGAACTGTCCCCTAGGGCACCCCACCTCTCCCACTAGCCCAGTTTCTTTACTCATGTTTTGTCCTCCTGTGAGGAGGATGAAACCATACCATGTCCCTCTGGTTTTTGCCAGGGGACTCTGTGTGTCAGGATGGGCTCAGGAGTCCCAGGACTGGATTTGCTAGCTTTCCCCTGCTTCTCTGGGCTGACCTGGAGTCGTCTGTGCTCCCACCCCTTCCCCAGAGAAACCTCTTCCTGTTTAGGGGTGCTCAGGAGGCCCCAGGTGCAGCTCCAGCAGAGTTTGTGAGTTGGGGCCTGTTGTACATCAGAGCTTCTTCCCCCTGCCACCTCTCTGGTAGGCATGAGGGAGCCAGTACCTCTTCACAGAGGAAGAGGGACAGCCTGTGCTAACCCAGCCTGAACTAGTTCACCAAGGCTCTCATCTGGGGAGGCGGTGGAGTCAGGGGACAGGTGACCAGGGGCGCATGCCAGGCATTTGGCTATAATTATTGCTGCCTCATTCCTGGTCTCAACTGGTTCTCCCCCAGATGGCTGCGGTCAGCAAGGCTGGTCTCTCCTGCTGCTGCTGCCTTGGCATAGCTGATTTAGAACCTCCTTGAAGGTCATGTACCCTGCACTTGTTGCCCTCCTATGACCATTCAGCCCTTGCTTGCCCCACCTGCTAAGGCAGCCCACCCCATTGCGGAAGGTCGAACCCCTGCTGACCTCCAGTTAGCCCTACTTGTCACTTAGGATCTTGTCACTTAGGATCTTGCCACCCTTCTGCCTCTCAGCCCTTCAGGAAGTGATAGCAGCTGGAATGAATTTCCTTTTCTACAAAGTAACTTCTCTAGTCTTCTAGAAGATTGTTCTGATCCTCTTAGACTTGAGTGCTGCCTTCCCTTCCTTCTTTGTGACATGGATGAGTTGCTTCCTTTCTCTGACGCAGAGTGAGATGCCCATCTTTCTCAGCCAATGGGAGGTCTGTCTAGCAGCATGTGGTAAAGCCACAGGGAGGTGGCCAGCACGTGTGAGTGCCCCTCTGGGTGGGGACCAGCCAGTGCCAAGACAGTTGAGGCAGCCTTGGGTCTCTTGCTTTGAGAGTTGTCTCCCCCACCCCTAAATACCTTTTAGACATTATATCTGGTCTGCATTTCTGGGGTGTTCATGGTGTGTGTACTGAACCAAGGTGGGTAAGTTGGAGATTGGGAGCAATTTTTTAAGGGACAACAGAGGTGGCAGGCAGATGATGACTCCATGGAAAATTAGATGATTTTCTGCAAAAGTAGGAGGTTCCGTGAGTTAGATCTTCCCAGCTTCTCTCAGTCTGACCTCCAGGTTATCACATTTTTTTTTTTTTTTTTGAGACAGAGTCTCGCTTTGTTGTCCAGGCTAGAGTGAGTGCCGTGGCGTCAGCCTAGCTCACAGCAACCTCAAACTCCTGGGCTTGAGTGATCCTTCTGCCTCAGCCTCCCGAGTAGCTGGGACTACAGGCATGCGCCACCATGCCCGGCTAATTTTATATATATATATCAGTTGGCCAATTAATTTCTTTCTATTTATAGTAGAGACGGGGTCTCGCTCTTGCTCAGGCTGGTTTTGAACTCCTGACCTTGAGCAATCCGCCCGCCTCGGCCTCCCAAGAGCTAGGATTACAGGCGTGAGCCACAGCGCCCGGCCGGTTATCACATTTTTGCAGAAGGATCCCACGTACTAAGAAGCATAGAATCCTAAAATGCTGCAAGTCATCCACTCCTGCCTCCTTCCTTTTACATACGGGGAAACTGAGACCTGAGAGAGTGAGTGACTTCTCTGAGGTCACACAACACAGCAGGATGGGGGCCGGTCAGCACAGAGAGTGACCCACACTCTCTCTCCACAGAGGCCTGTCTCGGGCTCTGGCAGCAAGATAAGTCAGCCCAGAGCAACTCAGAGGACGCTGCCCATGCATGAGTGTGGCACAGGAGCCAGGGCCCCAGAGCCCTCTGGAAGCAGTTGGCTGTGCTCTGCCAGTCCCACCTTACCTCGTGGGTCTGGAGCTGCTTTTATTAGCACATCACCACCAGGCCAAGGCCACACAGGCTTTTTGAGAACTACCTGTAGTACTTATCACCACCGGGACAGATCTGTGTGCCCTGCTAGTCCAAGCATTGGACTGCTACCTCTGGTCAGATTGAATGGGACCCTCCCTCTGGCCAGGTGAAGCAGGCTTGCAGAAGGATGATGGTCCCCTCGCTTGTGCCAGAAGCTCTACCATTCCTACTCCTCAGGTTTCCGGGTGGTCTCATTCTTAAAGGAAGAAGAGAAGATGCCGACTGATGCCTGGGGGCAGTTTGCACGGGGTTCGGAAGCTGGACTGCTTCTCTCCCCTCCATCTTCATCTGTACTTGGTCTGGCTTTTTCAGCTTAATTGGTGCTGTGCCCACATCGCCTAATATAACCCAGCAAACACTCCTTAAAAGAGGAAGCCAGGAGGTGGGAAGGCAGGGAGAGCTCTTTCACTGTGCGCCGCACCCAAAGACCGGGAGAGATTGTATCGGGTTCCCTCCTTGCGAGCGAGAAGCAGTGGTGGGAAGAGCCAGGGCGGTCTGCGAGTCGTGGGTCTCCAGAGCAGGGAGGTGCGCAGTTGGATTGAGGCTGAGTTTACTGTGCAGGAAAAGCAGAGTTCATTGATCAGAAGCTTTGGCTATAAAGCCAGGCTTCTCCAGGGGTTGCGAAGTCAGAAGGCTGCAGATTCGTGCCTGGGCCACTGTGGGAAGAGTGTCGTTCCATACCAGCACAGGCCATGGTGTGGACAGCATCGTAGCTTTGCACCCAAGGCTTCCTTCCCTAGGGGGCCAACAAGGAGCTGAATTCACCAACCAGGTTTGGCCAGGATCACTCAGCCCTGGGGTCTGACCCAGGGCTGCTCATGGGATCTTGTCTCACTGTGATCAGGAGCAAGGCCATTGGACATAGCTGTTGGATCTCCAAAGAGCTAAAGAGGAACCCTCTTTGCTTTGCAGTTGATATTTTGTCATTTCGAGCTTCAGCCTGTGTCTGAGCAGAAGGAGCCTTAATGGGGAATGTGGAGGCACTGAGGGGTCTTGTTCTCTGAGGAGGAGGCACATTCCAACAAGTTCCCAGGCTGTCTTCCCAGTGGGCTATTTAAAGCGAGGCCAAGGGAGTGCCTGATGCCCAATATAACCAGCAGCCGTCAGGTGACCTTGTGGCATGTGCCCCAGCCGTTGCTCCAAAGGGAGCCCTAAGTGTTCCAGCTGTGGGAACTCTCAAGCTGCTACCTCTCGTCCTTGTTACCTTCCCAGGTGGGAAGGAGGAAGGTAGGAAAGCCTGGTGGGGCTACTGATAATTCTGTATTTGTTTAGTTTTTCTATCTCAGACTTCTTCCAAAACTGCACTTTTTGCCAGTGAACCAGGGAAACCAGAGTTCCTCCCAGCCTCATGCTCTGTAGTACCTCATTTGGGGCTTCTCAGGATCTTCAGAGGTTCCTGGGTGGCAGCTAGAACAAGTGGTGGCTTCCCCTGGCCCCAGAAGGGACAGCAGCTCAACTGCCATGGGGCCTCCTGCCACCCAGGCCTCCTGGGCAGCTCTACTGAGTGCCTTCAAAGGGTGCACCCTGGCCAGAGTGGCAGCCAGGAGAAGGGAGACGCAGGGCAGAGGAGGCTGGTAGCACTGGAGGGACAGGAAACATTCCTTTGTGTGGTGCGTCCTGGCACAGTGAGCCTTGCAGTGGAGAGGCAGGCATCCCACAGGCACAGCACCGCTGGGGACCCAGGCTTCCCTGTCTATTCCTTGCAGAACTGATACTCCAACTCTGGGCTCCCCATGTGCTGGTGTGTTTGAGACTGATAAGCACTGATGGCCAGGGCCCCAAGGGGCTTCTTGCCCTGCCCCTGCTGTTTTGTCATGGTGGGTGTCAGCGCACCCTTGCCCTGCCGGATGTTATCTTGTTTGAGGACCAGCTAGAAGGAGGCATAACCCACAGTTGTGGGAGATCTGTGCCCAACCAGCAGGGCGGAAATGCCCTCTGTGCAATGCGCGAGCCTTTGGATGACTCCCTTTTCTGTCCTGGCTCTTACTTGAAGGAGAAGATGGTACTTGAACCTGAGCAGTCCCTGCTCCCTAAGCCCTATAGCCTCCCAGGACAAGAGAAGGCACTTCCTGCTGCTGGTGATTGTTAGAAACAGTAGCTCCTTTCCTACAGCCACAGAAGCTGGATGTTCCCTTCTTCCTGCTCAGGGCTCAGGGACTATGTTGAAGGGACCTTGTCCACCTGTGTCCTATGGATGTCAGGACATGGGATCTCTGCCTGGCTGTCTGGGGTATCTTTGGGGTAAGAGCCAGTAGGGTAGGAAGGCTCACCACTGTGCCCCTCCTTCACCTGGCCTGACCTGCTATCTCAGGTCCCTTCCCTGTGCCATGTGCTTCTCAATGCCACAGGAGTTGATCCCCTAGCCACCAACCTAGGCCAGACGCTACAGCCTCTGCTGAGCCAAGAATGCTTGGACCAGTCCTTGGTTTCCACTTTTCTGCAGATCATTGTTTTTCTTTCTTACTACAACAGCTTGCGTGCTTTGGGAAAAATTATCTGGAGGGGTGGCGGGAGCTTTTTAACCTTGGCTCGAGGACAGGGAGGTGGGAGGAGTAGGCCGATTCCACAAGCTGCTCTTGGTGCTCCCCAAAGAACCATCCTGGGGTCAGCTTCACAGTGGCACAGCAGAGGGCCTGATACAGGGGCGGGGGAATGTCCCTGCCTCATTTCTGTTGTCACTTTATCCCTCCCCGACCCTGGGTTTAGAGTTAGGCATTCATGTTGCTGGTTCAGTGTTCAGTGCTCATTGCCAGAGGGAGATCTGGGGGGCTCATGGGAGGTAAGTGGGCCCGGAGAGGTGTACTTGGGCTGAGCCTGGAGCTGAGGACATCTGGCAGAGAGTGGGCCAAGTCCCTCAAAAGAGAAGGCAGCTGCAGCTTGTCCAGGACACAGATGGGCAGAGCTGCCATGAGTCCTGCCGCATCCTGGAGGGTGGCAAGCTGGCTAGAAAGACCTTCCCTGACCACCTCAACTGGAGAGAAAGCAGGGACAGGGAGGGCTCTGCCCTAATTCTGGGGGAAAGAGACTCAGCTGGCCCACGCGGTTCTCTCCCAAGCCGGGACAGCCAAATCCTCTTCTAAGCCCCCTGAATAGAAAAAGCTTAAACTGACTTGCAGAGTAAGCAGGCCCTCTCAGCCCCTCTGCCTACACAGCACGCAGAGGGGCAGCACAAGGTCCTCCCCACCCCGCCTCCCCCAGCACTGGTCAGTCCAGCAGAAGGGAAAGCGCAGGCGTGCGCAGGAGGCTGCCTGACTGCCTGGTGGGGAAGTGACCAGGGTGTCCCGCAAGACCCTCCTCTCTGTGTCCACGGTAGATTATAGCCTTTCACCCCTTGGACAGGAGACCCTTGCTGCTCCCTCCCTTCCTGTTCCCCCTTCGCCTGTGACCAGCGCCACTCACCTGGGAGCTCAGGTGTCGGGGGTGGGGGGGATGAGCTGGGGCACCCAGCCTGGAGCTTCCACAGAAGTCTCTTCCTCGCTCAGTGCTGAGCTCCCAGCCGCTGACAGCCAGCTGCCTCAGCTGCCCTCTGTGTTGCAGCTTTCTTGTTGTGGGTTGTCCTGGAGATCCAAGTGTCAAATTACTGTAGAGAGGGAGCCAGAGGGAGCCCTGGCTGGGAACTTGCCCTACAACTTCATACCCTTGTACCTGACGCCTTGCCCCTGTCTGGGAGGGCTGCCTAGGGACAGGGCAAGCTCCCTCTCTCCTCCTCCCTTCTCTTCCTCTCCCCTCCCTTGCATGCTGTGGGCTGGGCCTGGGCTGGGCGGTGGTGAAAGAGGAGGCTGGCTCTGCCTCCCTGGTAGAGGGAATGGCTCCACCTGAGCCTGTGGAGGGAAGGAAGTAAGTGGCATCACCAGCTCCCAGGCTCCCCACCACCACCCTCGGGAGGGTCTTTTGGCTTGTGTGCCCCGACCACCAGACCACCCCATGCTGGCCCTCAGGCCACTCCCTGGCTGGTCCGTCCTTCTGGCCTCTCCCAGCAAAGACAGTAAACAGGCGGTCGGGGAACTGCCGGCCCACCCAAGCCCCCAAGGGAGGCCCTTCTGCCACTCAGCATCCTAAGGCATCTTGGGAAATAACTTGGGGTCCCAAGTGACCTGGGAGTGGCTTGTTTGCCTGTTGAGGTGCCTCATGTTCATTGTGAGAGGATGGACGTCTGCTGGGGCTGTCTCCACGCTCCTGGGCTGGCTGTCAGGGAGGGGTTCCAGGGTCCAGTGGCTGGGCCCTTTGACATTTGGCTGGTTGTGCCACCCAGCAGACCAGGCTGCAGGGAGAGAAACCGACCCCAGCCTCGCTATCAATGGGGCTCTTTGAATCTGAGCACAAAACCCCAGTGAGTCAGGGCTTGGGGAGGGCAGGGGGGAGGAAGCTAACTGTGTGGCCACACCACTCAGATGCCAGAGCCTCCCAGAGACCGGACAGGCAGCCACTGTGCAGGACGCACAGACTGGCGGTTGGAACATTTGTCACATTTAGTGTGAGCAGGAGCAGCGGGAAGCATGCCCCCTGGTGGCTGCTTCTACCTCAGGTTGTTCAGGTCAGACAGAGCAGCCTTCTCCACGCAGCCGAAGGGGAGTGAGCCTGACCTGCTTCTTTAGGGGTAGTGTCACAGTTGGCCTTCATTCCTTCAAGCCTGCACCTTGGGGTCACAGCCCCAGCAGTGCGCACATCAAGAGAAGTTCTAGTTAGAGCAGTTGACACCAGCTATTCTTGTCCCGGGGTTGTGGCATCCCCAGACAGCCTTGTCTCTGGCTGCTCTCTGGCTCCACCCCCACCACCACATTCCTGCCACCAGGAATGGCTATTATAAGGGCCCTCATAGGGCTATGTCCTCTCCTGGGGCCTCTGCACCTGCTCTAACAGTTGACAGGCCACTCCCAGCCTAGGGATTGGAGAACAGACAGAGCTTCACTGCCAACTGGAGGCCGCACCCTGTTCCCAGCTTGGGCAGAGGCTGGTCGCCCCAAGAGGGCTGTGACAGGGTGGAGGCAGTGGAAGGTGAGGAAGACTGGACGAGGCCGCATCTCCCTGGCTGGATGCCCTCTCTAGTGACTCCGTCTGGTGCCAGCTCTCAGAGCTGCCTGCTCTCTCGGGGGTGTCTGTGGTGTGCATCCCCCAGCCTCAGACTGGGTGCTCTCGGCCTGGTCGGGATCATGGGGGCCCCCAAGGAAGAGACCACCAAGAGAAAGTAGAGCAGAGTTCTGAGGCCACAGTCAGGCCCTCTCTACAGTCCCCTCACCCTCCTACCGCAGAAAAGGGTGAATAATAATAATGTTTTATTATTATTACATAGTCATGTGTTGCTTAATGGGGGTATGTGCTGAGAAATGCACTGTTCAGGCAATTTCATCTTTGCATGGACATCAGAGCACACTTATACACCTTGATGGTAGAGCCTACTCCACACCCAGGCCATGTGTGGTAGCCTCTTGCTCCCAGGCCACACACCTATATAAGCATGTCACCATCCTGAATACTATAGGCAATTATAACACAGTGGTGAGTATTTATGCATCTAAATGTATTAAAACTGAAAAGGAAGCCAGGTGCGGTGGCTCACGCCTATAATCCTAGCACTGGGAGGCCGAGGCGGGAGGATCGCTCAAGGTCAGGAGTTTGAAACCAGCCTGAGCAAGAGCGAGACCCCATCTCTACTAAAAATAGAAAGAAATTACTTGGCCAACTAATATATATAGAAAAAATTAGCCGGGCATGGTGGCAGATATCTGTAGTCCTAGCTGCTGGAGAGGCTGAGGCAGAAGAATTGCTTGAGCACAGGAATTAGAGGTTGCTGTGAACTAGGCTGATGCCATGGTACTCTAGCCTGGCAACAGTGCAAGACTCTGTCTCAAAACTAACTAAAATTAAAATACTGAAAAGGCACAATAAAAATACAGTATTATGATCTTGCTGGACAGTTGTGTATAAAGGATTATCAAGTGTATGACTGTATCAAACTGCCCTTCAGCACCTCATCAGTCTTTATACGGCCTGTGAGGCCAGTGCCTTCCTTCACCATTTTACAGATGAGAGTGTGTCGTCTTGAAGAGGTAAAATGTTTAACCCAAGGACAGAGCCTCAGTGGCAAAGCCAGCATCTGCACTCTAGGCCTCAACTCTTCCTGGAGCACCCCAGTGCTGGAGGACAGAGGCAGCAGTGGAGGAGTAACTGGACAGGATGGCATTCACATCTTGGCTGCCAGGATACCCTGTGTGTTATGTGACCTTGGGAGGCTCCTTCACCTTGCTGTCCTCACCTGTGTGATGGGCAGAACTAACTGGTGCCTCATGAGGCTCCGATGAGACAAGGCGTGTACCACCCTAGCGTGGCGCCAGACACATAGCAACGCTCAGCCAGCATTGAGGGATTGGGTGAGTGGACGCTGGCCTGCCTGGGCTCTGCAACCCTCACCCCTACCATGCTGCCTGCTCTAGATGCCGGCATGCTGCCATTGCCAAGTACTTTGGGGACGCACCACCTGCCTGCACCAAAGGCTGCGACCACTGCCAGAACCCTATGGCTGTGCGGAGGCAGCTGGATGCTTTGGAGCGCGGCAGCAACTGGAGCAAGACCTGTATTGGGCCTTCCCAGGGGAATAGCTTCGACCCTGAGCTGTACGAGGGAGGCCGCAGGGGCTACGGCGGCTTTAGCAGGTAAGGGGCCATGAAGCCAGGGACTCCCGGTCCAATGGAAATAGCCAGTCATTCCCCTGGTGCTAAGCCAGATCAGAGGTGACACAATGCTGTAGTCCACCCTCCTTCCCTGACTGCCATGCTGGGGCCTGGACCTTGGTGTTGCCCTGAGCTGCCAGAAGAAATCAGGGACATCACTCCTCCACCAGTGGCATGAGTGGGGAGGACAAGTAGGGCCACTCACGCGTAGCCTATATCCTAGGTACGACGAGGGCTCTGGAGGCAGCGGGGACGAGGGCAGAGATGAGACCCACAAGCGGGAATGGAATCTCTTCTATCAGAGGCAGATGAGGCTGCGCAAGGTGAAGGGGGAGGCCTGGGGCCTGGCAGGGCTCAGTGGCCTGTGCAGGGTCCCTTGTGGTCCCCTGCTCATGCCCTCTTAGCCCTTTCTCTGCCGCTGGATGGAAGCTGTCCTGCAGCACAACACAATGCCTCATGGGCCCTTCATGTTGTCTTCCAGGGCAAAGACCCCAAGATAGAAGAATTCGTACCCCCAGGTCAGTACAGAAGTGCTGCTGGGTGCTTGTGGGCTGTTCCCACAGTGTGGTTGGAGGATTCTTGTCAGGGGGTTGGGGGACTCTGGAGATTAGAAGGTTGAGTGGAACAACCCACCCTTCCTCCCCCCAGATGAGGACTGTCCCCTGAAAGAGGCTTACAGCAGGAGGGTCCCCAGGCTCACTGTGAAGGTAAGAGCCGGCAGCTCCTCCCCCACTGCCGGCCCCTTCCCTACCCTGAGACTGTGTGACCAACCTCCCTCTCCCTGCTAGGCCCGAGAGCACTGCCTGCGGCTTCTGGAGGAGGCTCTGAGCAGTAACCAACAGGCCACACGTACCACTGATGGGTGAGTGTCCCGAGATCGCCAGTGCTGGGGGACAAGGTCAGATGCCCGGGCCAAGGAGGGCCTTCCAAGCTCTTGCTCTTTTGGAGACTGCGGGAACACCCACACCCCTGGCTTGTTTGGGCAGCCACTCCCCAGATTGTGACCCGTTCTACTCCAGGGGCCAGTCCCCACAGCCCCACCAGCAGCATGTGTCGCCACAACTTAGGTGCTATTGGTGGCTGCTGAAGGACAGTAGCAAGTCACAAGGTACCTGGAGAGTCCTAGTCAGAATCCCTGAGCCCAAGACCATCCCTGCCAGGCCCCGAAGCCATCCCCAGGGTCCCTGGGGAGAGTCTGCAGGAGATTAAAAGGGAGAAGGCTCAGGCCTGCCTGATACCTCGTGCCCATTCCTACCCACAGGGCTGACCTCCAGGCCAAGGCCGTGGAGCTGGAATATGAGACGTTCCGAAATGCCAAGGTGGCCAACCTGTACAAGGCCAGCGTGCTGAAGAAGGTGCGCCCAGTGCAGGGTGGGCGGCGGGCATAGGCATGCTCATGGGCTCAGGAAAAAGGGCAACCCCTCCATGTTCCGAGGCTGTCTGCTGGCCCTCGTGCCCCAGGTGGCCCAGAATCCACCCTCTCCCTGCCCCCACCACAGGAGGCCAATTTATAGGGATAGAGCCCCACTCTTTTCCTCGATTGTCTGGAGGCGTTTCTAGCCAACCCCATGGGGACTAGAACCTCTCTAGTGTCTAGTTGCTTGTAGCTACTGGCCACAGAAACTCACTTTTTGTGCCTCGAAGAAAAGGAGGGCCTGGGTTGGGGCTGTCAGGAGGAGCTCGTGGGTGCCATGGCCTCCCTGCCCATCCCTGCCCAGGTGGCTGAGATACACAAAGCCTCCAAGGATGGACAGCCCTATGACTCAGGAGGCAGTGCCAACAGCTGCAGCGCCCAGGCAGAGCCCTCAGAGCCCGACGAGTATGACATCCCACCAGCTTCCCATGTGTATTCGGTGAGTGGCATCCTGGTGGCCCCCCCAAACCTAAGTCCAGAAAGGGTACCATTTGCCCTTTGCCTTCAAGCAGGGCACAGCCTCTTGTCTCCTGGTATCATGGTGCTGGACCTAGAAGGCCTTGGAGCTTCTCTGCTCTGCCACATGTACCTTTGTAGCCCACGGCCTCTTTCTCCCATCACCCTGACTCCCAAGGGACTCTTCCCTCCCACATTCCTGAGAGCCCTGACCCAACATGCCAACTTGACCAGCCAGTGAGTGCCCCTGAGGGAGCCTGGTGGTCTGAACCTTGTCTCTTCCTCACAGCTTAAACCCAAGCGGGTGGGAGCTGGTTTCCCCAAAGGCTCCTGCCAGTTCCAGACAGCCACGGAGCTGATGGAGGCAACGAGGATCCAGGAGCAAGCTCCCCAGCCCGTGCAGGGAAGTGAGCAGGAGCCCCCTAGCCAGCCCTGTGGCCTCCAGGATGAGGACAGGAATGTGTCCCTCCCGGGGCCCAGAGGAGAAGCCCCTGTGGGTAGTGCTCATTGTGCGGGGCTCTCCCCAGAGAAGGCGGCGAAAGGCTTCTCTAGGGGCAGTCCCGTCGCCAAGGCCCGGGCTAACAAGAAGCAGCAGCTCCTAGCCGCAGCGGCCCACAAAGATTCTCAGAACATCACCCGCTTCTTCTACCAAAGGGCGGAAAGCCCATCTTTGCTTGCTTCAGCCCCAAGCACAGAAGGTGCCAGCCCCTCCTGTGAGGAGGTTCAGGGACCCCCAATGGCTCCAGAGAAGGAAGATGGAACCCAGGGACATTTGAATGCCCCTCCTCAGACTGAGGAGTGCTCCAGAGAAGGACCAAGGTAAGGGCATAGGTAGTCATGGGATCTTCTGGAATCTGCATGGCAGCATCCTCTTTGCTAACTGGGCCTCCAAAGCTCAGAGCTCATCCCTAACCTGGGTTCTGCTGGACCGCCTGGGATGAGGGAGCAGCTGGCACCTAGAGCTCTGATGCCTACTCTTGTGTCTGGCTAGCACCTGTCCACTCAGAGACCAGGGTCCCCCTGAAGCCCAGCCCACCCCCGCAAAGGAGACGCAGATGGGCAAGCGGCCCAGATCCCAGCAGGTATTGTCAGAGAGGAGGCCCCAGGGGAAGGGAGGTGCCTGTGGATGGGCCAGTAGCTGCTCTGTTCTGGTCACAGTTCTGAGAAAATCCTCGCTGCTTCGCACACACAGCAGCAGGGGGGATGGGCTGGAGGGAGCCAGATGGTATTGGGGCCCAGTTTTCCAGGAGGTGGCCAGTTAAAGGGATCCTGAGTGTCCCTCTATCATGGCCCTACCCAGGAGAACCCAGAGAGCCAGGCTCAGAAGAGGCCTCGCCCCTCAGCCAAGCCCTCCATCTTTGTGGAGGTCAAGGGCAGCATGTTGTCAGCTAATGATCAGGGCACCTCGAATCCTATGGCCCAAGACTCCTGCCAGCTCTCAGCTCCTGGCATCCCTTTGAAGGAGGCTGCAAATGTTGTGGTCAAGTGCCTGACCCCCTTCTACAAGGATGGCAAGTTTGCATCCAAGGTAGGGTGAGTGGGTGGGCTCTGCCCTCCCCCAGGCCTGGGATACTTGGGTACAGTAGGGGTGAGAGGACAAGGGAGTGTGAGCCCCAGAACACAGCAGGCCAGAAGCAGGCTAGGCCCGAGACCAAGACCAGCTCCTGCCCTCCCTGGAGCCTGCCTTGCCCTTGGGTGGTGGCTGTGGGTCACCCCAGGGGTCATCAGGGCAGAGATCCTACGCTCTGCTTCTCCTCTCCCTTCCAGGAATTGTTTAAAGGCTTCGCCCGCCACCTGTCACACTTGCTGGCTCAGAAGACCTCTCCTGGAAAGAGCGGTGAGCACTCGCACTGCCAGGGCCCAGAGGCACTTGAGGGGGGGTGGTTGCAGGGAGGAGACTGACCCTCATGTCCCCTCACCCCAAATCCGCAGTTAAAGAAGAGGCCCAGAACCTCATCAAGCACTTTTTCCATGGCCGGGCCCGGTGTGAGAGTGAAGCTGACTGGCACAGCCTGTGTGGCCCACAGAGATGACCACCTGCTGGCTGGGCAGGGTCCACGACCTCCTCCAGACTCCACCGTGGCCAGCCTGAGCCTCCCCCGCAGATGCAGGGCCATCAGCTTTTGTCAGGGTCCTTCCACCTTCCAAGCACACTTTGCTTTGTGTATGGCCTCAGACACCTCCCAAATCAAGGTCAGAGGTCAGCCCACTTTTGCTTCTGCTTGCAAAGCCTGTGGTCCTTTCTCAGAGCCTTCCTGGGTTTTCTGGGCCAGATGCCCAGGATAGAAGGTGGTAGGTGGTATGGTCCCTTCATGTCTTATACTTAAGTTTTAAGCCAGGGCCACGGCCCATCTCTTGACAGTATTGGGGCCTACTCAGGAGAGTGTCCACTTCTTCTATCCCTTGAGACACCAGCCTTGCCCAGGCACAGAGCTTGTGGCAGAGGGGCAGTAGCCAGGCTGCACGCCCTGCTTAGCTCCTGGTCGGGAAGGCCAGGCCACCAGAGATGTTTACGAGAGGAATAAAGTCCTTTTTGTTCTGGCACATGCACGTGCACACACACAGCCCTTTTTTCTCGGGAGTTTTATTTTCTCGGCAGCTCCTCCCAGGCCTGGGCTTGTGCTACTGTGGAGCCTGGATGGGGGCCTGGGCGGGTGGGCATCTCCCCCAGACTGGGCAACATCAGATGTCCAAGCTGAGCTCCTGTAGCCCTCACCCTGGGCTCAGGCCCCTCCCCCCTCAGAAAGAGCCTGGCTGTTTCCTTTCCCAGTTGGTGACACTATTGCAGCCCCTGACTCCACTTGAGCCAGCTGTGCTGTGCTGTGTCAGGTTCCAGGACAGGGCCAAGCAATGAAGTCCAAACCAGAATGACCCGACAGCATCCAAGGCAGACTGTCTGGGTGAGGCTCGGGCCAGGGAGAGGCCTCCACCTCTACTCCACTGTCAGTTGAGGCCAGGCCACTCAAGGGAACAGGTGCTGTCCAGCAGGAAGACGATGGTATACAGCAGCTCCTGGGCCTGCCCGGGGAAAGGCATGCTGGGACAGGCTCCCCCAGCCAGCCCCCCACCCCTTCCTCACAGTGGGCAGCTACACACCAGGGCTGGGGCGAGGCACCTGCATCCACCTTCCCAGGGCGGTCGAGGCCTGGCCATTTACCTGCGGCAGCTCAAACCAGGTGGTCTGGGGGCTGTCCGGTGAACCATAGTTGATCTCCAGGCCGGGGGGCCCCCCTTCCTCCTGTGGGCTCAGCAGGCGGAGCCGCTGCACATTCTTCAGGCCAATGGAGCAGCGCAGTTTCTAGGGGCAGCAGAGATGACAGTTCTTGGCTCCTCTCCAGGGAAGGGGTCAGTGTGGGTGGTAGAGGAATGGCCCAAGGGTCCCCAGGCTGGTGCTGGGGCAGGATCCTTGCCCACCTGGGAGCTGGGGTCCATGAGGAGGAGGTGCTGGTGGTTGAGGCCCAGGAGGGTGGGTCCAGGCAGATGCAGCTTGCTCACCCGCAGTACCACGTAGATAGTGTAGCCGAAGAGGGGCAGCTGGCTCATGGCCTCTGGAAGTGGAGAGGGCCAGGGCAGAGGTTCTGACTGCCAGAGCTCTAGAACCTGCCGTGCTTGCCTCCAGGTCAGGTGAGAGGAACAGGGCAGGTAAAGAAGCCTCTCAGCCCTCCAGTCTCAACCTTCCCTCCTGGGCCTCCAGCCCCACCCCCAGCAACCCCAACCTTCTCTCTCAGACTCAGACCCACCAATGAAGCTGATCTGTGCTTCCTGGGGGCTGTATCCTTGCAGCTGTCTCAGCTCCTGGCCCATCAGATTCTTTATGGTGTTCACATTCACCTCCCATTGCAGCAGCTTTGGAACGTAAGCTAGCAGGTCTTGCCTAGGACACACAGCCTGGGTCAGTGTGGCCTGTGACCACTGACCACCTGGTGCAGGGCTGGGCAGACAGCAGGTGCCAAATAACTGAACCAGTACCTATTGTGGACAAGGCTGGGGATCTATACACATGAGTGAGGCAAAGGCCCTGCCCTGGAGGAGCTTGGGTATGGCTGAGAGAACAGGTATCCGTAGCCCCTGCTATTCCAGGCCAGCCTGGTTAGGGCACCAGTTGAGTGGCCTTGACCTTCGAGGAGGCAGTAGGGGGGGTGGGACAGAGGAGTGATGGGGTTGTGGGGGGGTGAGTGCCCACTCACTCTGATGGGGGGTTCTTTTTGTCCCTGCCGAGGTGCTGTAGGGCAGCCAGCCTGGCAATCTGAACATCTGCCTGGGCACTGACCCTCAGCTTCCCTTGAAGGTAGTCCCGCTGCACCTGGAGGGAGGGCCGTGAGGAGGGCAGCTGAGCCCCAGAACCCCCATCAGTTGGCTCCTGGGGCACAAATCCATTCCTGCCACCATCCCCTTCCAGCTGCCACAGACCCCAGAGTCTTTTTTTTTTTTTTTTTTTGAGTCAGTCTCACTCTGTTGCCTGGGCTAGAGTGCTGTGGTGTCAGCCTAGCTCACAGCAACCTCAAACTCCTGGGCTCAAGCAATTCTACCACCTCAGCCTCCCGAGTAACTGAGACTACAGGCATATGCCACCATGCCTGGCTAATTTTTTCTATATATTTTTAGTAGACATGGGGGCTCGCTCTTGCTCAGGCTGATTTCGAACTCCTGACCTTGAGCGATCCTCCCGCCTGGGCCTCCCAGAGTGCTGGGATTACAGGCTCGAGCCACCATGCCCAGCCCAGACCCACAAGTCTTATGGGGAGGGTGGTTTAAAGGTCACCCAGGCAGGAACTTGTGTCCTCAAGCTGCTGCGGCGGCTCCCCACCAGCTGGGCAGCTGGCTGACCTGGCTGTAGTGGGTGCTGACGTAGGTGGGGTTATCGAAGTGCAGCGGGGTCTTCCAGGTGAGCCGCCGGCCGTGCAGGCTCACGTCCCGCTCCATTACCACGTTGTTGAGGTACTCGCCAAGCCGCAGGGGCCGCACCAGCTTGCCTGCACAGAGAACCAGGTCCACAGCCGGCCCTGCTGCCCGGGCTGTCGCCACCACAGCCCCACCCTGCTGCCCCAGGGTCAGACTCCCTCCCAAGCTCACCCTCCCCTTTGATGAGGAAGAGGGCAAATTCCTGCACTTCCTGGGGCTCCGTGATGCCCATCTGTCTGCACATTTCCTCCAGCACTTCTGCTGCCACCTGGGTACACAGACAGGGCCATGGTGAGGGGGAGGGAGGGGGGAGGGCCCAGAGCTGAGGCCCACGGCTTCCCATGGTGGTCCCTGTGCTTACTGTGAAAGTCCGGATATTTGTCTTGTAATCTGTACCCCCGGGCAGGTGAATCAGAAGCAAGTGGGCTGTTTGACCTTTCTGCCAAGGCAGGTTTGCAGGGTTAGTCTGCTAGTGGGCAGAAGTCCCAGCTCTCCTGTGGACACTGCCCCCTGCCCCCAGGAGTCCCAGAATGCCCAGCTACCCAGCCCCAGTACCAGGAAAGCTTGCATTTCACCCGGCAGGGGCAGCCGCTGGCGGCCCCCATATTTGACTGTGCGCTGGAGGTGCTCCTGACTGCTCCGGGCCAGCTCTGCAGAGAAGCCAGGCTGGGGTCATGAGTGTGTCGGAGCCCCTCTCCAGCCAGCCAAGTTCCCAATCCTAGAACCACCCCCCAGCCCCAGGCACCTTGGCTGGGGCCTGAGTCCTGCAGGAACTTGGTCAGGTAGGGCATCAGCGTGGTCGACGGCCGGAAGAAGCCCGTGAGGAGGCTGAGGAAGCTCCAGCCTCGAGCACAGTGGTCCCTGCAGGGCAGAGAGCCTGGGCTTCAGGCTGGCCTGACCCCAGCACCGTTGTGCTCCCAGCAGCTACCCTGCCCATCCCCACTCACTGCCGGGGGTGTCCTGTGACCTGCTTGATGACCTGGCAGTAAATCTCATCCCTGAGGCACTCCTCCTGGCACAGCTGTGGGGACAGGAAGGGCAGGTGGCTGGGCAGGGGTGGGGCAGCAGAGCTGCAGGGCAGTGCGGTTTGAAGACCTAGAGAGATCCTGCTGACACCTGTAGGCTGGAGCTGACTCAAGGTGACATCCCAGCAGTCCTCTCAGGCTTTGTCTTAGCAGCGTCTGTGAGACTGGTCACCCTCTTTAAGTCACTTTCTTCTTGCTTCTCTCTGTCTTAAGTCATTTTTGCTGGTTCTACTTTCTCTGATGGTCTCAGCTGCTCCCATCTGATGATGCTCTTAACCCCAGACTGCTCCACTTGGAAGTCTGGGGTTTCAGACCTCATATGTCCAACACAGATTCCTCTGCCAGCCCTGACATGCTCCTTGCAGATGACAGTCATTACCCTGGCCTTGTCACCCCCACATGCAATTGGTCAGCAAATACCGCTGGCTCCAAATCTTCCCACTTCTCCCCTCGCTGCTGCCCCTAGGCCAGAGCAGCACCATCTCACCTGGGTCCTTTTGCCCTTAAACCCTCAGGATCTCAACAGCCAGAGCAACCCTGGGAAATGTAAGCCAAGTCTCTCCTCAGAACGCTCCAGCAGCTTCCCATCTCTCTGGGAAAGTCAAAGGCCTTCGATGGCTGCGAGGCCAGCCGCGACCTGGACCCTCTGCCCTCCTGGTCCTCATCCTCCACGCTCCCCTCACTCGCTCGGCTCCTGCCACGCTGGCCTTGCTGGTGCATGACAGTGTTGGGCTCTCTCTCGTCCGGACTGTCCCTGCCCTTCTCTCTGTCCCTCAGTGCATGTGGCTCCCTCCTTCACCCCCTGCAGGTCTCCTGTCGTGAAGCAGCAGCCCCGTCCCCGCTTTCTACTCTCCATGGCACCTCTCACTGAAGACACGTCACATCCTCATTGACTGTCTCCCCGTAAGCTGTGCGGGGACTGAGCCTGGCACTCGGGCACGCGGCCTGGCTTACCCTCAGCAGCTCGTAGAGCAGATCCAGCTCGTCCTTGCCCCGGGGCCTGGACTGGTCACCCATAAACTGCATCAAGGCTGCAGGCAGGATAAGAAGCATGGCAGAGGCCGGGCGCGGTGGCTCACGCCTGTAATCCTAGCACTCTGGGAGGCCGAGGCGGGTGGATTGCTCAAGGTCAGGAGTTCGAAACCACCCTGAGCAAGAGCGAGACCCCGTCTCTACTATAAATAGAAACAAATTAATTGGCCAACTAATATATATACAAAAAATTAGCCGGGCATGGTGGCGCATGCCTGTAGTCCCAGCTACTTGGGAGGCTGAGGCAGGAGGATTGCTTGAGCCCAGGAGTTTGAGGTTGCTGTGAGCTAGGCTGACGCCATGGCACTCACTCTAGCCTGGGCAACAAAGCGAAATGCTGTCTCAAAAAAAAAAAAAAAGAAGAAGTATGGCAGGCTGGCCCTGGCTTATGCTGCTGCTATGCAGGGCCTTCACCTGCCACCTGGGGCCTCACAAAGTGCGTGCGAGGCAGGTGGGACAGAGAGTCCAGCTCCACCCATGGGGAAACTAAGGCTCAGAGAGATCCCATAGGTGCCCAAGGTGCCGCAAAGCCCACAGCATCGGCTGGACTGCCTTCCTGCCCCAGACCTCACACAACCCACACCCTTGGGTAGGAGTAAGAATGGGTGAGGGCCGTGGTGCACGGGAACCACCAGTGAGCTTCCCTGAGTTGACAGATTAGGGCAGAGCCAGACAGCGCTCAAGGAGGGAAGGTGACTAGGTGACTAGGTCCGTGGCACTACCGACATGGGGCCCAGGAGGCCCATGGCCACTCACCCTGGAAGCTGACCACCGCCTGCCTGCTCATGTCCTCATCGCTGATGCTGAGGAGCGATTCCTGGATGGGAGCCTGCGGCCCAAGAGGCGGCGCTGTGAGTCTGGGGTTCACGGGGCTAGGGGGGCAGGTCCACTGGCCGACTCCTCCCGCCTCTGCCCTCACCTTGCTGAATTGCACCAGACTGACCATGGCCTTCCCCTGGGCTCCTCCATCTGTCGGATCCAGCCTATGGGGACAGAGTGGGGTCAGCCCTGCTTGCTTGGTCCCCCACCCTCGTCCCAGCTGCATAGGGAGGGTAGTGAGAGCACTGGCCTGGTGGCTACAAGCAAGGAGCTCACTTTGGAAAGATGAGGACAGGCGCAGGGATTGGCCCAGGGCACTCACAAGGTCCGAGGCTTCCGGAAGTAGCGCAGGGCAAATTCCAGCATGGTGTAGCTATGGGAGTCACTGGACAGAGAGGCATAGGCCGTGGAGGAGGGCAGGCTGGTGGCCTCTGAGTCATCATTGTTTGCCTGGTTCCGAGGACGGGTAGGGTGCTGGGAGCATAGGAAATGTGGTGCCACCAGAGTGCCCACTAGCCTGTCCCAGGGGCCCTGCCTGAGCCCTGTCCACACCCAGCCAGACCCGAGAGGAGCAACACCAGCAGCCAGGAAAGTCAAGAGCTGTTTATTGAGTGTCTTGTATGGCATCACCGAACTAAGCACCACGTGGGCCACGAGGGACGTACAGCCCAGCCCCTGCCCGCAGGTAGCTCACAGTCTTGCTGGGAAGTTGAGGCAAGCAGTCAGGAGAGGACAGCATCAGAGAAACACTGCACACCAGGCCATGGGAGGCGGGCAGCAGATGGTCCAGGCACCCAGCAGCCTCTGGGGCAATCACACCCTTTCCTTCCTGCACTCCTGGGGAGGCCTTGCCTCTGCCTCTCCTGTCTTCCTCACCTCCGAGGCCCTGTCCCACTGAGCCAGCCCTGGCTCCCTGAGCTGCGAGTGACGCTTGCGCTGGCTGCTTCTCTGCTCCAGTGAGAAGGAGAAGTCGGGAGCAGCGGCCGGTTGCACTATGTCGGCAGGAAAAAGTCCGGAACGGCCCCCGGCAGAGCCAAACTGCCAACCTGGAAGGTATCCCAAGGGTGCCGACTCACCCACCTGGCTCCTCCACCCCTTGGCAGGCTCCCCCAATCAGATGCCCTCCCTGTGCCAGCACACCTTGCTGGCCCCCAACCATACCTGGCTCCAGAGTGGCCCCCGGCAACAGCTTGATGAGGTCCCCATGGTGGAAGCTGAGGAGGCTGCAGTCATCGGTGATGTAGCTGCGCAGAGCGATGACATAGCCAGAGTCCTGGGGCCGGGTGGATGAGCAGACAGTGAGGAACAAGCCTGCCTGTTCCTCGGGTCCTGCCCACTCTCTTGCTTTCCCCGCTGGCCTTCCAGAGACCCAGCCTAAACTCCCACCCCACCCCAGATAAAACAGACAGGGGAGATACAGCCCGGGTGGAGGCTGCCCGCCTGGCCCCCCACCAGCCTGCACTTGCCTTCTTGAGCTCACTCAGGAACAGCTCAACCATGGCCTTGATGCTTCTTGCCCTGGCCGTGTGCAGCACCAGCTGCTCATTCTTCAGCGACAGCTCCAGGGTGGAGCCCAGGGGGCACTCCACACCCAGCACCTCCGAAAAGCTGTGCACAAGTGGCGCATGAGCTAGGGCCCTCTTGCCACCCACCATCCCCCAGCCCAGGCTCTGGGCCAGGTCACCTGTATGAGCAGAGTATCTTCAGCTGTTTGGGTCGGAAGCTGGGGCCTTGGGTCACCTTGAGCAGTCTCAGCCCTCGGTGGGACACACCTAACAGCTGCACGTCACTGCCACTCTCGCCCTGCCAGGAAGGTGGTGGGTCACAGGCAGGCTCCCGGGTCCCGCTGCTGCCCAGGAGGCCCAGGAGCTGCTCAGGGACAGTGGCTGTGCTTTGTTCGATCCAGAGTGGGGGCCTGGCCTCCCCACTCCCCGCTCCTGCCCCCAGTACACTGACCGAAACAGGAAAGATGCGGGAGAAATAATTGGCCCAGTTGTCCCGGGCGGCCACCACGATGCGCTTCTTGACGCTGTCTTCAGCGGTGGCGAGGGAGTCCAGGCCCACCTCCAAGTCTCCTGTGGGCAGGAAGGGCCTAGGCTGTCCTCAGGCGCCACCCTCTGCTCACGCGGGAAGGCCCCAGAGTTTGCTCCCTCGCCCTCCCTCGGGGCAGGCCTGGCCCCCAGCGCTGGAGCTCCCGGCCCCAAGGTCCCCAGGCACACACCCAGCAGGTCTTTCATTTTGCGCCGCTCATCTTGGGAGATCCGGATGCAGGACTCGGCGAAAGTGTCTCTCAGGATCTGGGGGCAGAGCCCGGCGGTCACCCCCAGGACATGAGGCCAGAGCCCACCCCTGGAGCAGCCATCGACACGCATGGGGGACAAGCCAGAGAGCCTAGCGGGAGCCCCTGGGCCCCACGGGAGCAGCTCCCTGGGGCTCGTCTGTCTCAGCAGGCCCGCCGAGGGCCGAGGTGGAGCAGGGAGGGTGGGCGCCCAGACCCGGGACCACGTCCACCCACAGCGCCTGTCCCCTGCCTCCTTCACTGCCCAGAGACCCCATGATGACTGTACTGGGTCAGCCGAGAGACGCTTCCCCCAAGGTGCGGTGGTTGTGGGGGAAGGGAGGCGCATTCCTGGGAGCATCCAGAGGTAGCAAAGTAACAACCACCACTTATTAAGTACCTACTGTGTGCCAAAGCCTGCCTTGTGTCTGTCTACTCTGCTTTTAAGCCTCATCTCTAAAAGTAGGTTAACACCTTAAGGACCGCTCACGAGTTTTCGCCTGTTTTGCGCGTCATCTGTTAAGGACCGCTCACTAGTTTTCTCGTTTTTCACTGTAGTTATGATGATTTAAATAACATGCAGTTTGCCCAAAAACATGCGGTCCCTGGCGTATGTCTTAGAGATTTCTATGCGGTACAAAATGTGTTAATAACAGTGCCTGCTTCTCAGGGATGCTGTGAAGATTTAAGCGAGTGAAGGCAGGACTGGGCACACAGGAAGTGCTGCCAGCATGCCCCACACAGGTGTTAACCTGGCCCAGGCATGAGGGGAAGGGCATGTACAGATGCCGCAGGTGGGCCAGGCTCTCACCTGCTCACAGAGGAGCTGGAGGCAGTAGGGGTGGCTGAAGTTCTCTCTCGGGTAGAACACCTGGAGGAGGGCACGGAAGAGCCAAGATCAGGGGGTCTGCTGCTCCTACCCAGCCCACCTCTGCCCTCCTGGGCCTGGAAAACCAGCCCAAAGGTGGGCTATGGAGAATGGATGCTGGGTTCCCAGGCTGGGATCTCCACAGCCCACCACCTCCCTGCCAGCCCAAAGAGGCCAGGTCAAGGCCCCACCCTGACACCCACCTCCTTGCGAAGGAACAGCTTCCAGGGTGCGCTGGCGTAGGAAAAGCACACGCTGCCAGCGGGCGCGAGCAGCTGGGTGGAGGGGCCCTGGTCCCCCATGGGCTCCGGCAGGCCTGGCGTGGTGGGGAGAAGGGATAAAGAGCCTCAGGTGGTAGCTGCCAGAGCCAGGACAACGGGGTCCCGTGGAGGGGAGACCCTCAGCCCTGGGGACTTTGAGGGCCCGCTCTCTCAGCCTCCAGCTGCCTCATTCCTGCCACGGTACCATCTCCTGCCTCCATTCCCAGTCCTAAATTTTCCCTGGTGGCCCTAAGGCTCATGGGTCCTCCATGATCACATCAGCTAGGGCCACTAAACTCCCCCCAGAGCTGTCAGGTCTGCATTGAGGACGACACCCTGTGTGTGACAGTCCTTCAGTGCCAGACCCTGCCCTGGGCGGGAATGCGGAAGCTAGGGCTCCAAAGTCCAGGAGCCTGAGCAGCTGCCCTCAGCTGAGCGGAAATGCCTTCAGCCACAGCACCAAGAGGCTGCTGGGAATCCTGCCCCCACCCTAGGGAAGCCCGCTGCGCAGGATATGTGGGGTTCCTTACCACGAGGCTCGGCTGAAGGGGCCCCCGGGTCCTCGGGCAGAGGCAGTGGGGGTGCTGGCGGAGGTTGGGGTGCCTGGGCAGTGGGTGGGTTCTGGCCAAACAGGTCCCGAAGGGGTTCCTGCTTTTCCTTGATGGAGCTGGAAGGCCCAGGTTGTGACAGGGCCTTGGGTCGAGGAGCCACAGCTGGTGGAGGGCCCTTGGGGGACGGCATCTGGTGGGGCACAGAGAAGGCACAAGGGACTGAGTCTAGGGGTGAGGCCAAGTTTGCCCCAGAGAGCCTCCACCTCCCGAGCAGAGCATCCCATGCCCTGGAGGGGACGGGATGGGGAGCTCACCTCAGGGGACAAGTGGGCACCTTGGATGCCCAGCTTGGCCAGAGCCTCATCCTTAGGGTCATTTTTCTTCGGGAAAGTCCTGAAAGGCCTTTTGGGAGAAGGAAGAGGTCACTAGGTCCACAGGGTGATTCCCTGAGGAACAGAGCAGCCCAGGCTCCCTCCCCCTGGGGGCCACCTCTCCCCAGGGGCCACCTCCCCCAGAGGCCCACCTGGACGGCTGCACAGGCACAGGCACGGGGCCCGGGCGGCTCTGGTACATGCGGATGATATTGCGAATTTCCCTGCTGGGTTCCGGCCGCTGGGACGTGGGGTCCGAGCTGCGCACCACGGGCCCCCGGTCCCTGGCCGGCCCTCGGTCACGGCCAGGCCCCGCCTCCTCAGCCGGCTGCACTTCAGCCTCTTTTGCAGCTTTGGCACCGCTCTGTTTCAATGGCTTCTTCACTATAGGGGGAGGAGGAGGGGACAGCACTGACAGGGACAAGGAGAGACATTAAACACAGCAGAGCACAGCAGCCCCGAGCCCCAGCCCCCACCCCTGCCCCGCACCTGCTCTTATGTCCTCCTCCTGCTCCTCCTCCTGGGGGATCTGGACCTTGGCAGGAGGCTTCACCGTCTTCACCTTGATATGCTGCCGCCCTGTAAGTGCCCACATGGCCCACGTGGCCCACCACGGTTACCGACGTCGGCCCAGCGGCCTGCCCACCCGGGCTCCTGAACAAGCCCCAGCCCCCAGCCCAGGTTGGGGGGACTGGCCAAGTTTCTGTGTGGGACCCCCAGCACCCTCACCCATGTTCTGGAAATATTCCCGTTTCTCCTGGAAATTCTTGGGCTGCTGGGGCCTGTCTTCAGGCTCCTCTGAGCTCCCCTCCTAGCAGGAGGCAGACGGAAGAGCCGCTGTAGCCAGCCATGCGACCACACTCACGATGACCCCTGGGGTCCCGGGGCCTGGGCCGAGCAGCCTCTTTTCCGCATCTGCCTGCTCACCCCACCCGCGCCTCTCACCCCTGCAGCCCTGCCCCAGCCGCCCGGTTTGGGGGTGTAGCTTTTCACCCTCAGGCAGGCACCCACCGATTCTAGCTCAGGCTCTGGCTCCTCCCGGGGGGCGGGGGGCTTCTTGGGCTTGGGGGTGATGGCCGAGGGTGGGGCCTGGGATGCAGCCTCCAAGGCCTGAGCCTGGCGCTGGCGCTGGCGGGTCTGCTGCTCCAGGGACAGGGTCATGGCCTGGGTGGTCATCTGCTGGGCCTGAAGGGGGAGGGGTGGCGGGCCAGTTTAGACCCCTCCCCCCAGACGTCCCCCCTACGGCCCTGGGGGCCCTGCCCCTCACCAGGATCAGCGCCTGTTGGTTGATGAAGTTCTGCTGCTGCACTGCCAGCTGCCTGGTGTCCAGGCTGGGAAGCAGGGGCTGCGGCTGTGGCTGCGGCTGCACCATCATGGCTGCGTGGACGGCAGGGGGCCAGGGCGGGTGAGCACCCACCAAGCTCAAGGCCCTCCGCCCTCTGTGCACTCTGGGCTCCTGGGGGAACCCTCCCCGCTCCAGTCCCAGAGCTGACGACTGCTCTCCTGAGAAGGGACTTCAGTGCCCTGGCCCAGCCTTACGTGGCATGGCAGGGACTGCGCCCATGCCTGGCATCATGGGTACCGGTGCAGGGACCATAGGTGGCTGGTATCCGGGCATCTGCATCATTCCTGGATACACTAAGGGAACAGTGCACCCCAAGTCAGTTCCTACCTGGGCCCACATACCACCTCCCTCCAGTCCTAGACAAAGAGAACATCGGCCCCCAGGCTGCTGGCCGAGCCCAATCCCAGCTGCCTGAGGGGCCCAGGCCATGCCTGCCCCTGCTGCTGGGCCGGGGAGGCCCTGGATGGGAAATCCCACACTTACCCATGGGGTAGCCCTGCTGCATGGGCCCCATGGCGCCCCCTCCCTTCATGCGGCCACTCAGAGCCCGGCCTTGTTCCAGATCCTAGAGGGACAATGGTCACGGGGTCAGAGCTAGAGGGTGGGAAAAGTGGAAGGGGCAGCAGAAGCCCAGAGGGGCAGGGGCAGGGGTTGGTGGGGGTGTGCAGGACACTCACGCTGAAGCCGGGCGAGAAGACTGGCTCGAAAATGTGCTCCAGGAAGCCATCCAGGCTCCCGGAGGCGCCGGGGTCCCCTGCAGGGCGGGGAGAGGGTTGGCACCATCCACCAGGGGTGGGAGGCTTCCCACACTCTGCCAACCTCAGTATGCCCACCCCAGCCTTACCTGTGTGGCCCCTCCTGGGCAGCACTGGGGCTGGACCTGGAGGGAGCCCTGGGGGCAGCGCGGGGGCCTGGACACCAGGGGCAGGAGGGATGGCCTCGGCTCTGCAGGAAATAGGAGGTCAAGCTGAGGGGGCCGCCAAGGCTGGGGGGCGCCCAGGCTGAGGCAAGAGGTAGAAGCTGCTGTGGGGGTCGCCCCGCAGGGTGCGAGGAGGCTCAGGTGGGAGGTGGGGGGACAGGGCTTGCAGCTGCCCCTGTGAGCCCCTGGGTGTGACGGGGTGGCCATGGGGGTCACCAGCAGGGGCAGGTCAGGGACAGGTGTGATGGGGCAGCACCTACGAGCCAAGGGGAGTGATGGGGTAGCTGCGGGGGCTGGCTGGGTCCCCCAGGTCCTCCGTCTCTCCGATCAGGTCCAGCACAAAGTCGCAGCCTGCCAAGTCCTGCCATGCGTCTGCAGAGTGCAGCGACACCGACCAGCCACGGGGGGGCGCCTCCAGGCCTCTGGGTGGGACGGGCAAGGAGCGGGAGGTGGTCATGGAGGCAGATGGCCATCCTGAAGGGGCAAGGACCAGAGGGTGGGGGCCGGGGAGGGGAGGGTGGCCCTGGGACCGCCTTGCTCGGACAGCTCTCGTGTCTGGACAGCATCGCCAACACTCCTATTGGATTAGCAACCAGGTGCACTCATGCCCCTCCTCGTAATCTCTCCTCTCTGCTCCCAGATCTGAATCTACAGTCTGACCCCTCCCACTGACCCTCACACTTGGGGCACCCCCTCCCCTCCCCTTGGGAGGAAGCATGGGGACGAGGAGGCAGAAGGACAGGGATGGTGGTCAGCTTTGGCCGTGCTGTCCCCCCGAATGCCCCCATACTTGCTCTGCAGGATCCACCCGGCCAGTTGCTCCCCCGTGGTCCAGGACTCCACCTCGGCCGAGTAGCACTCCTCTGTGGGGGCGGCATGGGGACGGGAGTGAGGGGCGGCAGGGCCACCCTGATGGGAAGGGGGTCCCAAAGCAAGATGGGGGGAGGTCAGGGTCACTGAGCAAGCGGGGGCAGCAGGAAGGCTGAGGGAGGAGGGGTCCAGGGAGGCGAGGGGGCAGGCTGGGGAGGCCTCGGCAGGAGGCGGCCATCACCGTTGAAGGTGAAGACGTCCAGCGTCATGCGGCCACGCCGCCACCCGGCCATCCACTCCAGCTGGGTGGGTGGGTGGGCCCGAGCGGTCCCGGGCGCCAGCTGCGACTGCTCCAGGGCCCCCAGCAGCTTGTGCTGGCACAGCGCCGCCGTGCCCCTGGGGGCCTGGTCAGACACAAATCTGCGGGGACAGCATAGGGCTGCTGTGGAGGCGGGGTGGTCTGCCGGCCCCACCCGCCGAGTCCCCACCCCAGGGCCCTTACTTGAGCAGGGGCTTCTGCAGGGCTGGCATCGGGGGAAAGGCACTGAGCAGGATGGCCATGAGGGCCCAGCCACACTGGCTCTGCTGCTCATCCGGGTTCTGCCAGAGCTGGGCTACGAGCTGGCTGAAGAGCTCGTCCCGCAGCCCCGGCCGGCGCTGCCCCTGCCGCACCAGGTAGGTTCCCATGGTCTGCCTCTGCCAGGTCTGCAGGGATCCATCCCCCAGGAGCCGCAGTATCTGCCGGCGCAGCGTTGTGAGGGCGGCACGTGAAGGGCTGCCACGTGCCCATCCCGTCCCTGCGAGGGCCCGCCTGTCCCGTTCCGATGAGCTAGCTACTCACCACCTTGTTGATGTCCAGGGCGTGCTGAGGGTTCTCGCCATCCAGCCTGGTCAGGGGCTTGGCCAGCGGCTGCCCTGGCCTGGGCAGGGATGGCTCCTGCAAGGAAGGACGGTGACACAGGGCCTGGGCAGGGGCTGGCTAGAGGACAGTCCTGGGGGAGCCCCACGGGAGCACCCGCCTGGGAGAGGGAGGGGGCTGCACAGAAAGCCGTTGCAGAAATGCATCTTAATGCTCTTTGATTAGAAAATTGGTGGCTGCACATGCAGAAAACTCAGGAAACATGGAAAAGGATTTCATTGCCAGAGATAATCACAGTTAACATTTTAGCCTCTTTTTAAGAGACATGGTTTTGCTCTGTTGCCCAGGCTGGAATGTGGTAGTGCAATCATACAGCTCATGGCAGCCTTGAACTCCTGAGCTCAAGCAATCCTCCCACCTCATCTTCCCAAGTAGCTAGAACTACAGGTGTGTGCCACTGCATATGCCTAATTTTTTTTAAAAAAACAATCTTTTTTTAGAGATAGGGTCTTGCTATATTGTCCAGGCTGGTCTCCAACTCCTGGGTTCAAGCAATCCTCTGGCCTCATCCTCCCCAGCAGCTAGGACCATAAGCGCAAACCATCATGCCCAGCTAATTTTTTTTCTCATTTTTTATAGAGATAGGGTCTCACTATGTTGCCTAGGCTTCAACTCCTAGCCTCAAGTGATCCTTTGGCCTCAGCCTCCCAAGTACCTGGGATGACAGGTGTGCACCACTGCGTCCAGCTAAGTCTCTTTCTTTCTCATCTTACTTTTTATTTTATTTATTTATTTATTTTTTGAGACAGAGTCTCGCTTTGCTGCCCAGGCTAGAGTGAGTGCTGTGGCGTCAGCCTAGCTCACAGCAACCTCAAACTCCTGGGCTCAAGCGATCCTACTGCCTCAGCCTCCCGAGGAGCTGGGACTACAGGCATGCGCCACCATGCCCGGCTAATTTTTTCTATGTATATTAGTTGGCCAATTAATTTCTTTCTATTTTTAGTAGAGACCAGGTCTCGCTCTTGCTCAGGCTGGTTTCAAACTCCTGACCTCGAGCAATCCTCCCGCCTCGGCCTCCCAGAGTGCTAGGATCACAGGTGTGAGCCACCGCACCTGGCCTCATCTTACTTTCTATGCATAGATATAGACATCCTGGCACACACACTCTATTGTTGACTTTAAACGACATTAGGATCATATTATACGTGCAATTTTGAATCCTGCCTTTGTATTGAACACTGGAGCCTGGACGGTTTCCCTTGTATGTAAACATTCTCTAACGACACGACTTTCACGGCAGGGCGATACCGCAGGTATAATAAAGGTGTGGCAACATAGATCTAAGCGTGTACGTGGTGAGATGTTTTGGTTCAACAGACAGTTTCAGAGCAATTCATCTGCATCCAGAGCCCAGGTGACCGGAGAGGGAGGAGGAAAAGCGGAGAAAGAGGGAAAAGGCGCGGCCTCTCCGGGAAGGTGCCCACGTCGGGGACGGGTGGGGCTGGCAGGGAGAGCGCCGGCCGGGGCCCACCTGGAAGCCGATGGAGACAAAGCTGGAGAACGGGAACCGGTCGATGTCGGGCGGGAGGCTCAGGCTGGGCCGGGCAGGGACTTCAGGGGGCATGGACTCGGTGATGCTCCCAGCCAGGGAGTCTTGGTGGCCTGCGAACAACATCGGGAAGCAGCCCAGAGATACCAGGTGTGGTACTGGTCCCGGCACCCCCCTCACCATCAGCGACCAGCCCCTGACTACAGGGAGCTGGGCGGTGACCCCAGGGAGGCCTGGACTGCAGGGGACAAACCCACCACACAGAAAAGGGACCGGGAAAGAGGTCCCGGGAAGAAGCACCAATGAGACTCACCTTCTGCTGTCTTGAGCATGACGGCCAGCTCGGCCGGGATCTCCAAGCTGCCCAGCTCCTGGCAGGGAGAACGGACTCACCCAGGAACCAAGGCAGCGGGCACAGGGACCCAGGGTCCCTTCTGAGCCCCAGGATCACAAACATCCCTCCAAAGACTGGGCATTCTGACCCTGGACACTCAACCGGAGCCCCAGGGGCCCTCAGAGGGCATCGTGAGCACTGGAGCGCCAAGGCCACCCCAGTCCGCTCTCAGGCACTCAGTGACCATCCCTGAGACAGGACCCATGGCGGCACCTCTGGCACCCCTGCCCCCAAGGCGTGCCAGGCTCAGTGGGCTCACGTCCCTGGGTAGAACTCCTCCCGCTTCCAGGCCACCTACCATGCTTGGTGCTGTCCCCGAGGCCCCGTCGCCACGCCAGCCACACCAATGCCCAAGCTATTGGGGGAAACACAGGAAGAGCTGAGGCCTTTGGTGGGGAGTCACCATGAGTCCCCTAAGGGCACCTCCCCTGCTGCACAGTTCAGCTGCCCCCCGGAGGCCCCGACACCAGCAAAGGCAGGAGAACAGCGCCAGAGGGGCAGCTGCCTGGCGCGGCAATCGGCCTCCGCCTGTCCCTGGTCCTCCAGAGCCTCACCAGTCTCAGCACCTCGGGAGTCACAGCCTGTCTGCCAGGACACCAGCAAGAGGGCAGGAGGAAGGGAAGAAATGTCCCAGGGGACAAAGTCCAGCCAGGGACGGGCCAGGGAGGGGGGCAGCACGTGGGCACTGACCTTTGAGCTGCTTTATGGCTCTCTAGTTGAAGTCATCAGGCAAGACAGAGGAGCAGAGGGACCCAAGGGTGGGCTGGGGGCATTGGGAGGAACCCAGGCAGGAAGGGAAGACCAGGCTCTGGTGGAGCCAGCAGGGATGACAGCAGGGATGACGGAGGACAGCACCCTCCCAGTGGCCAAGCGACCCCAGCCACACGTAGGGAAGAGGGAGGAGCCCAACGCATGATGGCCTGAGGCTGAGCCTAGAGGAGGGGCACCGTCGGGATTTGGCCAACTTGGTCAGCCAAGGCTGCCTGGCTTCTGCCCGCTTCCCCAGTCCCGCCCCGCCCCGACCCCTGCACCTGCAGCTTCTGCCGCCTCCAGAGCAGGGGCCGGGCCAGCAGCAGGACGGTGTTCAGCTGTCCCAGAGCTGCTCGCCGCCGCAGGTACCGCTTCCTGGAGGCCATGGGGGGGGGGGGGGACGGGCAGGGATGAAGAGTCCAAACTTGCATCTCCTGCCTGGTGCCCGAATCCTCTAAGCCTAGACATTCATGTAAAAACTGACTCTGGACCGGGCTCAGTGGCCCACACCTATGATCCCAGCACTTTGGGAGGCCGAGGCAGGAGAACGCTTGAGGTCAGAAGCTCGAGACCAGCCTGAGGAACATAGAGAAACCCTCCCCCTCCGCTCTACCTCTGCCCTATCTTTACAAAAAAATAGAAAAATTATCGTGGTGGCTGCGCCTGTAGTTCCCTCTACTTGGGAGGCTGAGGGAGGAGGAGCGCTTGAGCCCAGGAGTTGGAGGTTGCAGTGAGCTATAATGAGACCACTGCACTGTAGCCCAGGCAACAGAGTGAGGCCCTCAAAAAAGCAAACAAACAAAAAACCCAAAACTGATTCTGGAGGCATGAGGGCCCTGGATGCCTAACAGCAGCAGCAGGAGAGGAACAGGACACGGGAAAGCAGAAATCAGGCTGTTAGCACAGGCACTAAGATCCCACTCCGGAGCCGGACTGCCTGGGGTCAGGTCACCCCCCACCAGTTAGTTACTGTGATCTCGGATAAACTGCTGTGCCTCTCTGTGCTCCCTGAGATTTATTTTCATTATCTGTAAAATCGGGATTATTGTAATGCCTGCCCCATAACAAGATGAAAGGAATTAGCAGATGTAAGGGTGTACGACAGGGTCTGTCATGTTATTATTTAAGAAGCAGAACTTATAATTCAAAAGTGGCATCACTGAACATGGAATAGGAGATCCTGGAACGGCGAAAGTGCACACAGAGTATCTTTGAGGAACTCCAAGATGTGAGAAGACCAGACTCCTCAAAGGAGCCCTGAGCAGGACAAACGTTTAAAAATAAACCTACACCTTTTATGCATCAAAGGGCACATATGAGGAGAGTGAACAGGCGGCCCACAGAGCCTATTTGCTAATACCCAGAAGGTGTAAAGAACTCCTACAACTCAGCAGCAAAACGACAACCCAAGTAAAAAAACAGAGCGTTTCTCTCAAGAAGATGCCCCATGGCTAAGCAGTGCACGGAGGGATGCCGACAATATCGGTCATTAGAGAAATGCAAATCAAAACCCTAATGAGATCCTGCTTCGCATCCACGAGGATGGCTATAATTTTAGCAATGGAAAGTGGCACGTATTGGCAAGGACGCGGAGAAACCGGAACTCTTGTACATTGCTCGTAGGATATAAAATGGAAAACAGTTTGGCAGCTCCTCAAAAAGTTAAACATAGAATTACCGTACGACCCAGCAGCCCCACTCCTAGGTATAAACCCCAAAGATCTGCAAACAGAGACTAGAACAGATACTTGTATACCCGCATGCATGGCAGCATTATTCATACTAGTCGAAAGGCGGGGACCACTCAAATGTCTGTCGGTGGATGAACGGAGGAATAAAACGTGGTGTATCCACACGATGGGACACTATCCAGCCATGAAAAGGATGAAGTTCTGATATGTGCTACAACATGCAGGAACTTGGAAACCATTAGGTGACAGCAGCAGTCATAAAAGGAAATAGCGTGTGAGTCAACTTATGGGAAACAGCTGGAACAGGCAAAGTCATAAAGACGGGGACTGGACGTTGCCAGAGGCTGGGGGATGGGGAGTCCGGAGTTATTGCTTAATGGGCACAGAGTTTCTGTTTCCATGATGAAAAAGTTTTGGGAACAGACACAGGTAGGTGACGGTTGTCCCCGCTCTGGAGTCTCCCCTGCCGCCCTCCCCCTGGCACTGCTTCACTTTCTCTTCAGCCCTCCAGTTACCCTTTGGGGTGTCCAGTGGCTGCTTCACCCTCTGAATCTGACTCCCCAGCTAGCCCGGGAGGCCCCAGCCCTGCTGCCTCCAGCCCCGTGTCACCAGTGTCGGCCGCCCTGTGTCACCAGTGTCTGGCCAGGGTAGACGGGGCGGATGGCCAGACCGTAGCTGCTGCAGGGATGAGAGAAGACGGACTGTGAGGACGACAGGCAGACAATGAGGTGAGAAGGGGAGGGTAGCGTTATAAGACGAAGAAGTGCAAAGTCACTGGAGTGGAAAAGTCTGGCCGACGTGGGGGCCAGAGAGGTAGGCAGGCCGTACACACTCGATTCATGCCCTGAAAAGATTGCTCTTGCTGCAGAGTGGAGAGCAGAGTGGAAAAGAGAACGATCAAAGCATTAGGATGGGCCGGGCGCGGTGGCTCACGCCTGTAATCCTAGCACTCTGGGAGGCCGAGGCGGGAGGATTGCTCGAGGTCAGGAGTTCGAAACCAGCCTGAGCAAGAGGGAGACCCTGTCTCTATTATAAATAGAAAGAAATTAATTGGCCAACTAATATATATAGAAAAAACTAGCTGGGCATGGTGGCACATGCCTGTAGTCCCAGCTACTAGGGAGGCTGAGGCAGGAGGATCGCCTGAACCCAGGAGTTTGAGGTTGCTGTGAGCTAGGCTGACACCACAGCACTCACTCTAGCCTGGGCAATGAAGTGAGACTCTGTCTCAAAAACAAACAAACAAACAAAAAAGCATTAGGATGGCAGTTCAGGTGGCCTCCACAGGTAACGAGCTTCTCGTGACTGGGGGCATTCAAGCAGAGACTTGGTGGGTCTGAGAGGGAATGCCATCAAGGGGAGGCAAGTGCTGATGGGCGGGCAGGGGGCAGGTGGACTTGCCTCAAGACCCATGTCTCCCCAGCCTGCCCCGCCACCTTGAGGAGCCCACGGCCGCACCCCACCCTCTGCAGCCATGGCTGCAGCGCCTGCAGACCTGGCCTGGAGCCCACGCACACGAGCCTGCATCCGGGGCAGGAGGCGGCGGCGCTGGCGGGAGATGCAGGAGTAGAGGCCACGGTGCAGGGTGAGCAGGGCCTGGGAGCAGCGCTGGGCCCGGAGCTGCTCCAGCCGCTGCCAGCCCTGCTCCTGCAGCAGGACCTGCGGGCAGAGGTGCAGGCTGCGGGCAGGCGCAGGGCTGGGCACCTGCTGTCCTCCTCAGGCCCCAGCCTCCTCCCTCCTGCCAGACAACCTGTCCTTCTGGGGTGCCTGGGACAGCCTGCTGCCCAGCCCCTCTCCATCTCCAACCAGGAAGGACCACGCAATGCCGCGCCTGTCCCTGTTTGTCCCAGAATACGCGCCGCTCCTTCCCACGCGTGCCGCCCCCGCACACACGGGCACGCACACCCACCTTGGTGGCTCCGAGGTGATAGAACAGCGATTCGGCCCCCAGCGCCTGGCTCAAGATGGTGCCACACCTCTCCCGGTCAGAGGGGTCTTCCGGCCCCGCGGTCCCCAGGGCCCGGAACCTGCCCCAAGCACGGAGAGCCAAGGCCGGAACAGAGGGGCCTCTTTTCACTTTAGTTTGACGCCACAAGCCCCTCGGTATGACTCAGTTTCTAGGCCATTCAACAATTTGGGAAGCATCTGCTGCTATGTGCCAGGTGCGGGGGGGGGGGGGCACAGAGACGTGCCGGGCCTCTGCTCTCCCCCAGGTCAGCGGGGACCGTAACTCGGGGCGCTGAGGGAGCCGGGGAGCAACAGGAGTGTGGTCCCGAGGCTTCGGTCTCATGGCCACTCTGTCCTCAGTGCCTGCCCCACGGCACGGTGGGGCTCGAGACGAGTTTGTGGAGGGAGGGGGGTGGAGGAGTGTTTAGTGCGGTTTCACTGTCCCAAGTTGGCGCAATGGACGCTCGACAGCCTGAACCAAGCACCCTGCACGTTCGGTGGCCACAGGAGGCCACGGAGCATTAGGGATGGCTCATCAGCCTCCGCCCGGGTGCTGCCAGCCCAGCTCAGCTGGCCCTGGACGAGGAGAACCCAGTCCCCCATCCCCCGCCCCTGTCCCCGGCGCAAACTCCAGCCCTTCAGAGGGTTCCCAAAGGGGCCATCCAGTCAGTGGCCAAGGCCAAACAGGAAAACAATAAAATGGCTTTTCTAGATGTTTCTGAACTCCTGGAACAGAGCTGCCTCCTGGCGGGCCATGGCCACCCCCATCCTCACCTGCACGGATGCTGCCCTGCCTGGCTCCACGAGGCCACCCCTCCATCCCATCTCGGAGGCTCTGCTCCCCCCTGTCCTCCCTCCAGCCACTACCCCCTGAGCACCCACCGGCTGGGCCCCGCCCAGGGCCAGGGGCACCCCCACCTCAGCTCTGGGCCCCAGGCAGGAGCACAGGAGGGGTTTGCCATGGAGGAGGAGGAGGACTGCATGGAGGGAGGGGTGGTGAGAGTGAAGGAGAGGCGAGGGAGAGAGGAAGAGAGAGGAGGGAGGGGAAGGGAAGGGAGGTCGGGTGCCAGGCCCCATCCCATCGCCACCTGGAAGGACACCACCCCCCCTCCAGGGCCATCACTCCAGGGGCTTCCTTGTCAGTCCTGCCCCGAAATGGGCCCTACCTGGCCAGGAAGGCCCCGAAGGGCACACGCACGGGGAAGTTCGCACTGCGGGCCCCTGTGGCCTCCAGGACGCCAGCCTGGTGCAGCTGCTCTGCCACATGTCCCACGTCAAAGCAGCCTGGGAGCTGTGGCGTGAGACGGGGAGGAGGAAGCTGGAGCCGCGGGGCCAGGGCTGGGGCGGGAGGCGCAGGCGCCTGGGGCTCACCTTCCCGGGGTTGGGGCTCAGGCACTGGATCACGTAGATGCGGCTCCTGAGGGGTGAAGAGGGGTCGTTTGGGCACAGGCCAGCACCCCACCCAACTCCCGCGGGGTCTGCCGTGGGGGACGCTGCTCTCACCTGCCCAGCCGGGCTACGAGGTCCCCCAGGGCCTGCTGGAAGCGGGCGGCCAGCGTGGGTCTGCCTCGGCCTCCCCGGGCCTCTGGCCCTGCCTCCTGGAACAGGGCGCCCACCAGCTGCGGGCCGGGGGGCTGAGCTCACCTCCGGGCCAGCCCCTGGGGCGGGCGAGAGTGCCGAGGGGAGGACAGAATGGGGGGACGGCGAGGAGGGGTGAGCACCAGGAGGGCAGGCAGGGCACCTGGAGCTGGCTCTGGCCAAGCGTTTCCACCACGGCAGGGTCCAGGTGATCCCGGTTTGTATTTAAAAACTTGTGAACCTACGAGAGGCCACAGGGGAGGTAGGGATGGGGGCAGGAGAGCGGAGGTAGGGGGTGGGGGGATGGGGTAGGTGTGAGGAGGCAGGGGAGTTTTCTTTATTCCAACTGCTTGTATTTCCTTTTTGGGGGACTCCTGGGTAGTTTGCATTTTTTTCTTCTACAATCAGAGTGTGCCACCTCCTCCAGGCAGCCATACCTGACTCCCTACCTCAAACCAGTCACACCGTCCTTCCCTTGACACCTGCCCCCTCCCCTCTTGGGGTTGGTGTGCAATCTCCCTGGTAGGCCTGGGAGTCAGGAGGGGGGAAAGGAAAGTCCACTCAGGGAGCAGCTACTATGTGCCAGGCACCTGCCAGGCCATCGCTGTGTAATTGCATTTAACCCTCGTGACAATGCCGTGGGACAGATTTCCACGCCCATTTTACAGATGAGGAAATGGAGGCTCAGAGGGTGAAGAGAACTGTCTAGGCTCTCAGACCCAGGCCCGTGCTCGTGCTCTGCCCTCTTCTGTCTGGAGGGTCGCGAGGCTTCCACTCTGCCACCCCACAATTCGCACCAGAACTCAGTAAATCCTGCCCACAACTGGGTGGGCCAATGGCCCAGGTGGGGACAGATGGCCAAGCCCTGCCAGGGGCCTCCCCTCACCCACTCCTCTCAGCTGCTGGATGACTCGCGCTGCCTGAGTCTGTCCCCGGGGCCAGATACCTGGTAGGTGACAGTCCCGGCATAGTGCCGCACGGTGAAGATCGGCAAGGGCAGCTGGGGCTTGGCATAGCTCGGGTGCTCGCCATGGTGATAGTGGCACTTCTGGAGGAAGGTGTGGTCTGTGGCCTGATAAGAGGGACAGATGTGCTTCCCTCGGGCCTTTGCACATGCTGTTCCCCTGCCTGGACGGTGCTCCCTCCCTGGGACCCCAAGTTCCACATATACTGTGTGTAGGGGAGGTCCCCAAACTTCTTCCTCAGACAGGAAGAATCACTCCATATTCGAGTCCTTATAAAGGGCACACTCTCAATGACTTTACTATTTTTTTTTTTTTTTTGAGACAGAGTCTTGCTTTGTTGCCCAGGCTAGAGTGAGTGCCGTGGTGTCAGCCTAGCTCACAGCAACCTCAAACTCCTGGGCTCAAGCAATCCTGCTGCCTCAGCCTCCCAAGTAGCTGGGACTACAGGCATGCGCCACCATGCCCAGCTGATTTTTTCTCTACATATTAGTTGGCCAATTAATTTCTTTTTATTTATAGTAGAGACGGGGTCTCGCTCTTGCTCAGGCTGGTTTTGAACTCCTGCCCTTGAGTGATCCTCCCGCCTCGGCCTCCCAGAGTGCTAGGATTACAGGTGTGAGCCACCACGCCTGGCCTAAATTTTTTTTTTTTTTTTTTGAGACAGGGTCTCACTCTGTTGCCCAGGCTGGAGTGCAGTGGTCTGATCACATACCTAACTAATTTTGGTTTTTAGAGATGGAGTCTTGCCATGTTGCCCAGACTGGTCTTGAACTTTTTTGGTTTTTTGTTTTGTTTTTTATTTATTTTTTATTTTTCGCTGTCTGGACTCATCTGTAAGAACTTTTGGACTCAAGTGCTCCCCCTGCTTTAGCATCCCAAAGTCCTGGGACTACAGGTGTGAGCATCCTGCACCGTGTGCTGCACAGCGTACAGGCACAGTCCCAATAGAGCAGGGGCCAGGCAAGGTGGTGCCCACACCCGCAGTGCCAGCTACTTGGGTGGAAGGATCGCTTGAGCCCAGCAGTCAAAGGCTGCAGTGAGCTACAATCACACCTGTGAACAGCCGCTGCCCTCCAGCCTGGGAAACATAGTGAGACCCTATCTCAAAGAATAAATAAATAAACACAAAATAAAATAGGCAGTAGGGATGAGGCTGAAGAGCAAGAGGAGCTATGTAAGTCGGGGCAGGTAGGGGGCGGTCAGGAAGTGTTTGTGGAATGGGTGTACCATGGCCCTGAGGTTTGTTCCCTACCCATCAGAGACCGCAGTGACATCTGGCCACAATCGGAAGGCACATGCAAAAGCCCTTCATGAGCCCTGTGCAGTACCTACCTCATAGCCTATCGGGCACTACTGTCCCCCTTCTGCAGCAAGGACGTGGGCGACCCCAGAGGCCAGGTGTCTTGATCAAGACCACCCAGAGACAAAGCTTGAGCCCAGGCCTCTTCCCCTTGGCTTCCCAGGCTGTGCTGAGGGGCTGCAGGCAGGATGTTTGGACCCCATAATGCTGTTGTCCCCCCAGCAGGCCCTGCTGGCTATGGCCTGGCCACCCAGGGTCCCCACTCCTTGTCCGCAACACTGGGGCCACTGTCCTGGGCCTCACCTGGGACAGCTCTGTCTGTGCGTCCAGGATACTCAGGAGGCTGTGGGGCTGGTCTGCCAGGAGGTCCAGGCAGGACACCCTTGGAGGCTCAGGGACGGGCACCCAGGACAGCAGCTCCCGCTGACACTCCTCCTGGGGACAGCCAGCACGGTCATTTACAGAGCCTGTCCACATCTGCGGGGGCCTCACCGAGCTGGAGCAGGGATGACCCTCCCATCTCATGGATGAGCAAACTGAGGCGTCTCAAAAGGACGGAGACACCCCCTAGCAAGGGGCCCCCAGGGCGGAGCTCTCGGCTCACTACCCCTCTTTGCCCAGGTGGCCTCTGCCCTGCGGTGCCGCCGTCATACCTCCTCCTGGGCCAGCAGCACCCGGCCGCAGAAGAGCTGCAGGCGCTCGCTGGCGAGGTTGTTGCACAGTTGCTCCAGGCCGTTCACCCGCAGTGCCTGGGAGCAGGTGGCAGTGAGGTGGGCGCACAGGCCCGTGCCCTTCTCCCCTTCCCCCAGGGGCTGCCCCATTCTGTCCAGGCGCGGGGAGGAGTGGTGCTTGGGGCAGATGCTCGGGGCAGATGCTGCCCCCGCAGGGTCAAGTCCCAAGGCGCTGGCACAGCCACACGCAGGCGTCCCTCTAGCCTCCCACGCCCCTGCCCTCTGCTGCAGCATCAGGCCTCTGGTCTCGGCCTCCCTGCGGTCTGGAGGGCGCCTCTTCCTACTGCCTAGCTCGCTGGCATCAGATCCCACATCACATGCAGAGTCCAGGCTGCTGCCTCCAAGAAGCTTCCAGCATCCTCTGTGCTGTCTCCACACTCTGCTGAGAGCCCGGCAGAGCCCCTGCTTCACACAGCTTCGCACACCCTCCCCCCCCCCACGCACACACACACACAAGTGCACACGCACATGCCCACACCACGGTCACCGCCCTCCTCGGGGAGCGGATGGTCACCAAGGACACACTGTGCGCAGCAGGACAGAGCAGGCGGCAGTAAACAGCTGCTCGGTCCCTATCCAGGGACCGAGGCCAGGGGCCACCTCCTCTCCTGCCAGCCCCCTTCTGGCTGCCCTGAGGGGCAAGATCTTCTAGGAAGCGGTGCAGAACTTGTGACAACTCAGAGCAATTTGGGGGGGCTCCCCTCTTCCCTCCGCTCTTGGCATGTGGCAGGGGAGGCTGCAGGCGGGCCCATCCCGGGGCCTCCACTGCCTTTGGAGCTCCTGTGAGTCCCTGCAAAGCCAGGCAGGACAGGACTCTGCAAAGGCAATGCCAGGACCGGGCAGAGCAGAGCAGAATGGCTGCACCTACGGAGCACGCAGCTCTCTCAGGGGCCATCTGCTTTAAGCCTCTGCAATCCACGAGTTGGGTCCTGATATGATTTCTACTTTACAGATGGGAACGTCAGAGCTCAGAGAGGATGATTAACTTGCCTGAAGTCACACAGCTAGCAAGTGGCAGGACTGCTCCAGAGCCCTGCTCTCAGCTGCTGTGCTAAGGACAGCTCGGGCTGGTGCTGGGGCTTGCAGTGGGCTCCAGCCCCTCCCAGAGAGACGCCAGGAGCGCTCACAGCCCAGGCTGGCCCAGAGAAGGCAGCGGAGGCCATGCAAGAGAACAAGGCTGTGGCAGGAACCTGCTCGCAGCAACGTGCGGCTGCAGGCGAGCGGAAGTGAGAACCCCGGGGTTCCCCGCCAGCCTCACTCCCCGGCGGGACGCTGGACGCGCAGCGGGGCCCCCGCGCCTTGGCACACAGCCAGCAGTTGCCCAGCACATGCAGGAGCCACAGAAGGCACAGTGCCAGGCAGGCCAGCACCCCACGAGAGCCCCCCAGCGAGAGCTGGAGCAGCCGGGTCCCAGGAATGAACGAGAAAGGCAACCCCCTCCGTCCTGGGCCCACCCCAAGTAGTGACCTCAAAACCAAAGGCATCCACGACAGTGACGGTGCCCACGCTGCCTCCCTCCCCAGGGGGTGCCAGCCGTGCGTTGATCCTCGTCAGAAGCCAGCTGAAGAGTCGCGAGTACAGGGCCTTGGCCAGGGCATCCCTGTGGGCACGGGGAGTGAGCCAGGTGGAGCGGAGCACCTGGCCCGGCTCTTGCTCTCTCCCGTCCCCAGGGCCACCTGGCGTCGATGGCGCTTTCCACAGGCAAGGATCGCGAGACCTGGCCATAGGGCGTCTCCTGGAGGGCAGAGGAGGTGCAGGTGGTGCGTCAGGCCTGTGGCCCTCAGCGGGAGCCAGCTTGGGCCCCTGCCCAGGAACCCTGGGCTCACCACGATCCTCCGGGTGACAGCCCTCTCCAGGCGCTCTGGTGGCACCTGCAGCAGCCGGGCTGCCGCGTGGATCTCAGCCCAGCTGGACACAGCAGCCACCTCCTGGGACTCGTGCTGGACAGAGAAGGGAGGGACAGGGACAGCTCTGCTCGAGCAACGGACACATCCCCCAGGGCAGGAGCGGGGCCTTGCTTTGCTCAGAAAGCTGCCCTGTCACCCAAAGGGACGACAGCACATGGGGGGATCTGGGCTGCTATGAGCGAGGCTCTGGGTCTGAGGGCCCTGGGTGCGAGTCCTGATGGGCTGGACCATCTGGCCAGTCCCTTTCCCCTAAGCCCCCACTGCTTGTCAAGGGGGAAACAGTAACCCTTATGTCACGGTGGTGTCCTCGTGAAAGCCAAATTAGAAAACAAACGTGAAGTGATTTACACAGTACTGTGCACATAACAGCTGCTCATTTAATGCCGGGTGGTCTTCCTAGGGTGGCAGTGTCACTGGGAAAGATGCAGACCCTCCTGGCCTCAGTTTTCTCATCTGTATAATAGGAGTCTGCCTCCTCCCCAGGACAGCCAGGGCTCTGTAGTCCCTTACATACAAACAAACATTTGGTGCCATCGTCATTGCCCTGATTATGCAAAGAAGCCACCCCTGACCCTGTGCCCCCACTGCCCCTGCCCACAGGGAGCCCACCTCGGAAGAGGAGAAGCAGATGTTGCCCAGCTGCAGGATGGTGGCCAGCACGGCCCAGACTGTGGTCAACTCCTCGGGGCACAAGCCCAGCACCTGCAGGGCCTTGGTCAGCTCTGTGAAGTCCTGGGCATCCTCCTTGCCTTGGAGCCTGCAGGCCTGGCCCTGCGGGGCACAGCATGGCGGGGGTCAGGCCCCGGCCACCTCGCAGCCTCCCTCTATTCCGCTCCTCCTCAAGCCCAGGGCAGAGACCCTCCTCTGGGCAGGCCCTCTCTCCGGCACCACGAGGGCTGTGTCACCTGGTTGAGGTAGTAGTAGGTCTCTGGTCCCTGCAGGGAGAGCTGCTCGCGCTCCATGGGCTCCAGCCCCGCCAGCAGCTCGTAAAACACATGGAAGCTCCGCTCGGCCTGGGCCTTGGGGAGGAGGACTGGCTTGGGGGCACACCGGCCTGGGGCTTAGGGGTCTGCAGTGGCCCCTCTGTCTTTCCCACCCTAGGAGCTGGGAAGGGGTGGGCAGCAGGGTGTCCCTTACCTGAAACACTACCCTCGAGGTCTCAAGCAGATAATGTGACACGGAGGCTCCCACGATGACCCCACTGTGGGCACAGGAGACAGGGCGCGTGCTGTGGGCCCCACCAGGGGTAGACCCAAGGGCAGCAGCCTCAGGTTCCCAGTAAGGGTCACTGATCACGGGTGCCCCCGTGCCCAGCTGGCCCGTCACTCACTGCTGCAGGCAGAGGCACACGACCTGGCCGAAGCGGCTGGCGTTGGCGTTGAGGACGGTCTTGGCGTGGCCAAAGCTGCTGAGTATGCGCAGCACGTCATCCAGCTGCGTGGGGCGGGGTGGGGGTGGGGAGTCAAGTGTCCCTGGGACAGCAGTGGTACCACTGCCAGGCGCCCCAGCTGAGGGTACCCCACGCCTCTGCTGGCTGGGCTGGGTCCCCGGGGGAGTCAGTCCCATCAGAAGAGGCAATGCCTGGGGCTAACCCCACAAGATGCCAGAGGCCTGAAAACCACCCTCCCCCACTGGCCAAAGGACAAAGATGGTCCCTCTTGGATCTCGGGGTGGGAAATGGCCAGCTGCCCCCCAGAAGAAGACAGGCAGCCAACTCGGTCCATGAGCCTCCAGCCTGACCCTCACCTGACACCCCCTGTCCCTTGTCTGCTCCTGCTCCAGGCTGCTAAGGAACTGCACAATCCTTTTGGCGGCTTCTGTCTTCCCTGAGCCGCTGTGCCCACTGCGGGAGGGAGGGGCTGAGGACGGGGTGGAGGGCGGTCGGGTCTCCAGTAGGGGCATGCAGGACCACTCCACTGAGCCTGGCAAGCGGGGATGTGCTACCTGGAAGTGACACCTACCCTGGGGGAGACCCCCGGCAATGCACATAGACGCCGGGCATGGAGACCAAACAAAAAATTGCCCAAGATGCCACATTCCAGGGGCACATGTGACAACTTCAGCCAGGAGCACGGCGCTAACAAAGTCCAGAGCTGCAGCCCAGCCACGGACCAGACCAGCAGGTTCAAGTACAGACCTCATGCCCCGACCCACCAGCCTTCGGCCAAGCAGGGCAGCCACCACTCACCCCAGGAGAATGCAGGGGTCCTGCCCAGTGCTCTGAGACAGGCTGTAGGCTGATGCCACGACAGCAAAGATGTGTCTGGCGGAGGAGGGCAGGAGGAGACGAGAAAGTTGTCAGAGATGGGCACCTGGGGCCCTCTTAGGTGCAGCAGGACATGCCCATAGGCCCAAGGACTTCAGCCAATGGGACACGCTGGGGCCTGGCCACCTGGGAGGTAAGCAGAGACTCAGCGGGGCAAAGGCACATACGGGGTGTTGTTGGGGGCCTTGCTGGGGTGGTAGCTGGCCAGGACCTCAGGTGAGAAGAGAGGCGAGGGCTGGTGGGGGTTCAGAGAGAGCAGGAGGGGCCCCCCAAAGGTCTGGGGAAGAAGGCAGAAGCTCTCGTCAGAGTGTGGAGGGAGCAGGGGCTCCAAGGCACCCCAGCCCACCCTCCAGTCCCCCTGAGAGGGTCCCAGAGAGGGTTCACCACCCAGCCCAGAGAGGAAGAGGGAGGGAAATTGCCAGGGGTGCTGGGGAACCCTGTCCCCAGGGGAAAGGCAATCCCAGCCCACCAGCCCCTGCCTGCAGCCCCCATACGTAGATGCGGCCCAGGTGAAACCTCTTCTTGAGGCACAGCAGCACGGAACTGTCACACACCAGCCTGTGGGGACAGCAGGGAGGAGGGGGAGGAGTTGGGGGAGGAGGAGGCTGTGGGCTAGCTCTGCCGCCAACCTCCCGGAGCCTTAGCTACAAGGGGGACTGGGCTGGTAAGGACAAGCAGGACCAGGCACTGTCCCAGAGGAAGCCTTGTGCCGATTGTGCCTGGGGTAGTGCACCTGACCCACCCTCTCCTGCCGCTTCCCGCCAGGCGGCCTCTGCCGGGGCAAAACCCCTCCAAGGACTCAACTGGGGTCTATAGAATCTATACAGATGAGGCAGGGTGGGATGCGAGGAACCGCGAGCCAGCGATGGCGGATGGGAAGGGCGCCCGCTCACCGCAGCCGGGCCAGGTCCTCAGTGTCCTCCAAGCCGAGGAGAGGCAGCGCCTCCAGGCCGGGGCCGAGGCTCAGCTCCAGGTCCCTCTCCAGCGCCGCCTCGGCCTCGTCCTCGGGCTCCCACCGCTCTCCCAGGGCCCCGCCCGGGCCCGGAGTCCTCTCCTGCTGCAGGCGGGTCTCCAAGGCGAGTTGGGGCAGCAGCGCGGCCGTGCCAAGCCCAGGGTCCTCGCGGGGGCCCGAGCCCTGCGCCCAGTGCCCGGGGGTCTCGGCTGCCAGGGGCTCGGGCTCCGCTTCACTGCCGGAGCGGCTCTCGTCGAGCGGGGGCCCGTCGGGGGCAGTCGGAGCGAGGATGGAGGCGCGGCGGGGCCCGGCCTCCCCTTCCCCACTCGCTCCGCGCCCCTCACCGTCACCCCCGGCCCCTGCACGAGGCCAAACGCGGCCCTCCCCTGCGGGGGCGTCCGCGGAGGCTTCTCCAGAGCTCCGGCTGCTCGACGCCCTCCCCGCCCTGTGGATCCTGGGGAACACGACCGCGAACTTGAGATCTGGACTCGGGTCCTCCTGGTCGGAAGGGTCATCGGAGACCGGGCTCTTCGGCACCTGCGGGGGGCTCGAGCCGCCCCCAGGGAGAGCCTTGGGATGTCCCCCCAGCCCTGCTACGCCCGCCAGGCGCAACGCTAGGCGGCGGCGCAGTCCGGGCCCGCGGCCCCGCCCCGCGTCCGCCCGCGGCCCCGCGCCCCGCCCGTCGGGGTCCCGCGGCCCTAGCCGCAGCCGCAGCCACCGCAGGAGGCCCAGTGCCCGCACCACCCGCAGGAGCCGCTCCTTGAGACTGGCGCGGCGGGGACCCGCGGCCTGGGGAGTGGGGCCCGGCGGGGGCATCGCGCGGAGCCTGCGCGCCACCACGAGGGCGGCCGTCGGCGCTGGGTCCCCGGGCACGTCCTCCCCCGCGGCTGCGCGCTCGCCCGCCTCCACTTGCACCTTCCCCACCACCTTTCCGACCCGGCGGCGCAGAGCCCGGGCCGTGGAGGCCTCGGCTGTTCCAGGCCCGACGGCCCGCTGCGCTCCTATGTCACCAGCGTCCCAGGCCGGCGCGGTGTCCCGAGGAGCCCGCGTGCTCTCGGAAGGCCTGGGGGCCGTGGCTCTTCCACCGGGCTCCGTCTTTTGGGCCTCAGGGGCCCGGCTCGGGGTTCCCGGTGCTGCACGTGGGCCCCGTCCAGGCCCGGGCCCCCGCAGACTGGAGTCCGTGTCCGTCGCGGAATCCGCACTCGCTCTCTGGGGCCCTGTCCCCGACGACCCCTCGGGGCTCCAGGGCTCAGCCGGGGGCTCGTCGCTGCTCAGGCCGTCGGTGCTCAGGAGCTCGCAGGGCTCGTCGCTGCTCAGGCCGTCGGTGCTCAGGAGCTCGCAGGGCTCCGGCGCTGAGTCCGGCCCCGCGTCGGTCCATTCCGAGCCCGTGTCCGTTGGCTCCGGCTTGGGCCGCAGTTCCGGGGCCCCGCCGTTCTGGCCGCTGCTCTCCTGGACCTCGCGGGCTTCGCTGTCCGGGCAGGAGCTGCCTCCGTCGCCGCCCGACGTGTCCCCATCCAGACTCTTGGTCGCGTGGTGGCCGCGCCGAGCCGAGGGTCCCCGTTCTTTTCCTCTCTTCCTGCGGCGGCCGCGCTCGCCCGTCCGCCCCTCCTCCTGGGGGAGGCTCCCCTGCTCCAGGCGCCCCCCACAGCGGTCCCCAGGTTCACGGCTCTCCTTGGACCCGCGTCCCTGCCGCGTGCTGCCTTCCCCCTCCTGGGCCTCCGCTGGCCGCTCGGCCCTCGGCCGTCTGCTCGGGCTGTCCCTATCTGCGGTGGGTTTCATGCGGCCTCCAGCGGTCCCCTGGCCCCCGGCGGCGGCGGGCTCCGTGTCCTGTCCCACCCCACGGGCCTTGTCACGGCCGGGCCTGTGTTCCCTGCTGGGCTCGCCGTCCGCGCTGGCCGACCCAGACTCCTGCTCCCCCGAGGCTGGCGTCCCGGCCTTCGCATGGCGCGGGGGCGCTTTCCCCTTTTTCCGGCCCATGACGGCCCAGAGAAGAGTGGCTTCCTGACGCCCGGGTCCTCTCCTCTTCCCAGGGATCTGGCTGCCCGCGGGTGCCCTCGGCCTTCTGTGCAGTGCGCCACCGGGCTCTGCTCTGGCGGGGGCTACAGGCTGTCTTCACTGCACCCCCGGAGCTCCCGCCTTAAGCACCGCATCCGCCTTAAGCACCGCATCAATAATGCAGGAGGCAGCGGGTCCTGACCCACTCGGCCAACAATGGAGCGGAGGCCACCCAGGAAACAGGAGATGCTGCGGCTGCGGAGAAAGGCCCGGACAGGGCAGCCTTGCACCTGGAGTCGCTGCCAGCCAGGCCAGCCTGGCGCCGCGCCACGCTGAGGGGGCCGCGCTCTGCTCCCACCCGTGTTTGCCCCTCGCGGGGGACACAGCGAACCTGTCTGGGACTGTTCCATCGCCCTGGGGGCTCCGGGAGGCTGGGACCCGCCCGCCCTGGCACACAGCAGCGCTCCATGAGTTTTGTTAGTTCTTTTTTTTTAATTCTTAAATTTACTGAAAAGTACATAAAACATAAATGGACACCTTGAACTGGTGTAAAACAAATGCCTGTGTACCCCCCTGGAGTCATGGAATAGAACCACACCCCATAAATCCCCAATTGCCCAATGTGTGTGTTTTATAAAATATTTTTTGAACATGTAATACATTCACGTAATTCGAAATTCACAAAGTAAAAGTCTCCTATTCCTGTCAGTTGCTCAATTTTCCCTGAGGCTACCCATTTCTGTGTTTCCTTCCGGAGCTGTCCGTGCAGAGAAAAGCAAATATTGCTTTATTTTTCTCTTTAGCACAAATGGAAGCTTATTTGCTCAGGTGTCTTCCCCTACTCCCCACTTTTTAACTTGGTGATTTATTATTATTTTTTTAGGGACAGTCTCCTTCTGTTGCCTAGGCTAGAATGCAGTGGTATGGTCACAGCTCACTGTAGCCTTGATAATAATAGAATAATAATACTGCAAAGAGTGTCCCTTTCTTTCCTTACACTGGGGCTCCGGTCCTCTTCCTCCTCCCACATCGTATTCCAGCAAATGAAGGCACCATAGTGCAACCAATTCCTTACTGGTAAGTTTTTACATCCAAAGTGGATGCTGCCTTCATCTCATCTTTTGCTTAGATTACAAACACTAGAATATTTCACCTGTGTCCAAGTAGGATCAACTCCTAGAAGTAGAATTGCAGAACCACAGGGCACATGTATTTGTAATTCTGAGATGTCCAAGTTCATCTCCATGAGGGTTGTTCCAGTTTATGCTCCCATCGATAAGATAGGAGACTGCCTTTCCCACATAGCATTCACACTGGTGTTATCCAACATTTTTTTTTTCCTGAGACAGAGTCTGGCTCTGTTGCCTGGGCTAGAGTGCCGTGGCATCAGCCTAACTCACAGCAACCTCTAACTCCTGGGCTCAAGCAATCCTCTTGCCTCAGCCTCCTGAGTAGCTAGAACTACAGGCATGTGCCACCATGCCTGGCTAATTTTTTAAATATATGTATATATTTTTTAGTTGTCCAGGTAATTTCTTTCTATTTTTAGTAGAGACAGGGTCTCGCTCTTGCTCAGGCTGGTTTTGAACTCCTGACCTTTAGCGATCCTCCCGCCTCGGCCTCCTAGAGTGCTAGGGTTACAGGCGTGAGCCTGTAAAAATGTTAGGCCAACCCAACATTTTTGACACTTTGAAACATGACAAATAAAATATTGGGCGAGGTAGCTCACACCTGTAATCCTAGCACTCTGGGAGGCTGACCCGGAGGATTGCTCAAGGTCAGGAGTAGGAAACTAGCCTGAGCAAGATCGAGACCCCATCTCTACTAAAAATACAAAGAAATTAATTGGCCAACTAAAAATATATAGAAAAAATTAGCCATGCATGATGGTGCGTGCCTGTAGTCCCAGCTACTTGGGAGGCTGAGGCAAGAGGATTGCTTGAGCCCAGGAGTTTGAGGTTGCTGTGAGCTAGGCTGATGCCACAGCACTCTAGCCCAGGCAACAGAGTGAGATTCTGTCCCCTCCCGCCAAAAAAAAATTGGTCCCTTGTTAGGTTCATTTCTCTGCGAAAATAAGCATTCCCCCCCCCCCTTAGAACAACTGTGTTTCATTTTCTGAAACCTGTCCTTTCTTGTCCCTTACCCATCTTTCTGTTGGAGGTGAGTGGGGCCGCTCCTTGGTGGTTAGACCATAGTTAAACCCAGGCGCGATGTGGGAGGCCACTTGAGGGCCCCCAGATTGAGGCAGCTGGTGCTGGGCAGGTTCCAGGGCACCAAGATGGAGCCAGACGAGCCGTCCAGCCAGGACCTGTGACCTGCCCCATAGGGACTCCTGTGCCCCACCCCCACTGACAATCTTGCTCTGGTCTGTCTTCCCCTGGCAGTACCACCCAGCACTGAGCAGGGGAGGGAACATTCCAGATTGCAGCACTTTCCCTCAGAACGCTGACCCGTCCACCTGCACCTGCCTCACACCCATCTCTCTGCACACCTGCTAGAACCAGCCTTGGAGCTAGGTGCAGCTGCTGCCAGCATCCACATTCCCCCACGTCCCCCAGGAGGGCCACTCAGGCCAGAGGCCTGGTTTGAGCAACAAGGTGAGAGTCTCTCTGCCTTTGCGGTCTGCTCTCGAGGAGGCAGCCTTCTGGGGAGGAAGTGGCCGGAGAGGCCAGGAGCTCCCAGGTAGTGTCCTGGAGCTGTACCCCTGCCACCAACCCTGACGGGTGGAGAACAATGACATCAGAGGGCTCTATTCTCCTGCAAGAAGCAAGACACAGGTGAGAGATTCACACAGGGGCAGCACACAGTGTTGAGAACCATCCACGATTGCCTGGAACAACATGGCCGATCTCGCAAACGTAGGCGCCAGTGAACGCAGCCCAGCAGAAGGAGCAGCCGATGCATGATTCCATTTCTGTAAAGTGCAAAAACAGGCAAAGCGGCTTACAGAGTGTGCCCCCAGGGCTGGTGACTAGCAGGGGACACGAGGGAACCTCTGGGATGTTGGCCATGCTGCTTGTTCAGTTTGTGGGGACTTGTTGAGTTGCACCTAGGACGTGTGCACTACTGGCTTGTATTTTATAAAGATAGCACAGAGGGGCCAGGCACAGTGGCTCACGCCTGTAATCTCGGTACTCTGGGAGGCCGAGGCAGGAGGATCGATTGAGCCCAGGAGTTCAAGACCAGCCTGAGCAACAAAGCAAGACGAAGTCTCTACAAAAAAAAACAAAGAAAATAGAAAAACTAGCAGGGTATGGTGGCGTGCTCCTGTAGACCCAGCTATTCGGGAGGCTGAAGCAGGACGATCACTTGAGCCCAGGAGTTTGAGGTTGCAGGGAGCTGTGATGATGCCACTGCATTTCAGCCCAAGTGATAGAGTGAGACCTTGCCTCAAAAAGAAAAAAAAAAAAAAGAAAAGATAAAAAGCTTGCTGTTTTGCTCTGGGTAAACAATAATAATAATAGCAAATAGCTAGCACCTTAGGGCTTATGCTGTGCCAGGCACTGTTCTAAGAAATTTACTGTGGATTCATTTAATCCTTGAAAGCACCCTAAGAAATAGGTCCTATGAGGATGCCCATTTTATGGATGATACCACTGAGGCACAGCTAGTGAGTGTCAGAGCTGGGGATGCCAACCCAGGCAGTCTGGCTCCAAAGGCCCAGCTGGAGAGTGCATGTAAGGAGTGTCAAAAGACAAAATTACAACAAATTTAGTTAAATTTCACTGGCTTTTACTTGTGATTCCAGAATTGGGTAACACCTCATTCTATAAAACAAATGAATGTTCAAACCAGGCGAGATGGGGCACACTTGTAGTCCCAGAGACTCAGGGGCCTGAGCTGGGAAGATTGCTTGAGCTCAGGAGTTCGAGACCAGCCTGGAGAATATAGTGAGACTCCCGTCTCAAAAGAAAAGATTAATGTTCGTATGAGCTGAGCAGAGGAGTGGGCTTTATAGACAGAAAAGGCTGAGGAAAGCAGAGAACAAAAAGCAGATTGGTTGTTTCCAAACGACTTTCCTTGCAAAGGTTAGAGTAGAGGGGAGCTCCTTATCATGCCGGCTAAAACTAGCCTGTTTGGGGGTCTGGCTGTCATCTCTTTCTCTCTCCTGATTTCTTGGAAGATCAAACAACTTGGTTTCAGTGTGGTGGCATGGGACTTCAGCAAGAGTGACTCCATGTTGGCCTGTTCTGTTGGGCCTGGTGCGGGAGCTCAGTCCAAGGCAGTGGCCTCCCGTCAACTGTGTGCAACAGGAGCTGACGCCACTGCAGATGGAGCTCTGGTTCCCCGGTGGCTCCATTACAACATGTCCTGCGAGCTCAGGTCAAGCTCTCCAGATCGGTGCTCCTGGCCAAGCTCCTGCCTCCTTGGGCGCCCTCCTCTCCTCCCTGTCGACCCAGGCCAGGGCCGTCTCTCACCCAGCCGGGCGGGCGTGGCTAGCTTCTGACCCTCTGAGCCCCAGTTTCCTTCCCAAGCATCATTTCACTTAGACCCTAGGAAGGGGCTATGATCCCACTTTGCAGATAAGGAGATGGCTCAGAGAGGTGCAGTAGCTAAAGGACACGTAGCCAGAAAACGAGGAATTGGGGACCAAGCCCAGGTCCCTTGACACTGAGTACCCACTATGCTATTGAACGCACACTGCTGAGAATCAGCTTTGGAACCAGACAGCCTTGGTCCCCCTTCCCACTTCAGTACTCCACCTCCTGGCAGTGTGACCTTGAACGACCTTCAGAGAACCACTGGGCTAATCTGGATACCAGGGGAGATGGGCCACCCTCAAGCAGATCTTCCCATTCACTTCCTTTGCCTGCTTTGCTCCGGAGTATCATGAAGGCCTCCTTGGGGCTGTGTGCCTAGCCTCTCCTCCTCTCCTGGCCTCAGCCACTGCCCACAGTAACTTTCACCTCCTTTGCTTAGGTGTTCACTAGGAGCCATGTGCTGTCTGATTTTACGGGCTCTCATTTAATCCTTACAACCCT